ACGGCCATCCTCTGCTCTCAGTTTTACTCAAATTTATCAAAAGTTCTGTTGTCTCAAACCAGAAAATTTAACCCCATAATGAGGGTCATCTAGAAACAAAATAATGTGAAAAAAAATGCTTAACACCTGAAAAATTTATTTTGCCAAACATGTTTTCCTATGTTATAACTGAATGAAAGACTAAGCAGCAAATGAACCATAGATATGTTCAGAACTATATAATAAAGGCCAAGTTAAGAAATATGTACTTACTATTGACTTCACCAGTAATTAACCTGTAACACTTGGGCAGGTCAGTGTACCTCTTTGTGCTTCTATTTTCTTATTATACTAAGTGAAATAAATGAAATAAATTTTAATTTCTGACTCTTATTCCATACAGATCAAAACCTCTAAATGCATCCATATATTTAAGTCCAAAATATTTAGGAAGTATAGAATAGAACAATTTAAAATATAAAGATATTTCCACTAATCTGACACTGGCATAAATATACTGTGAACATATTATAATGAAGTCTTTAACTATTTTATAATGATTTGCAGAGACCAAAAAACAAATCCAAGCAGAGAAATTTTGCATTAAATGTGTCATACATTTTTCCTTATACATTAATTTGCATGAATTAATTAGAAACCTTAAGGCCCATATAAATAATGTACAAAGAAAGAAATACATTTGCCTAAAGACACATAATTTTGAGAACAGCAAAGAGGGTAGCTTTGCCCTACCATGTAGTAACACTTTTGTAATGCAGTAATGATGCGGTCAGACAACTGGAGGACTGAAACAAAATAGCACAAAATTTCACTTATGTATACATAATAACTTGATATAGGTCAAAAGTTACACCATGAATCAATGGGAATAGGAAGGACTATTATCATATAGTGTTACAGAAACTAGTTCACAATACAGAGAAAAATAAAACTATATCCTTACCTAAAACCTTGAACAAAGTAGTTTCCAAATTAATTAAAAACTTAAAAGTAAAATCTAAAACCATTAAAAGTGAAAAGAAGATAATGTAGAAGAGTGTTTTGTGACTAATGTACAGATAAAGGACATAGTCAAGTTCAAAAGTACAAACCATAAGGTAGGGAAAAGACAATGGATTTGATTATTGTTAAGAATTTTTGTTCAGGAGCATCTGGGTGGCTCAGTAGGTTAAGCATCTTCCTTCAGCTCAGATCATGATCCTGGAGTCCCAGGATGGAGCCCCATGTCGGCTCCCTGCTCAGCAGGGAGTCTACTTCTCCCTCTCCCTCTGCCCCCCTCCCCTCCCCCGCTCAGATTTTCTTTCTCTCTCTCTCTTTTCCAGTCTCTCAAATAAAATCTTTAAAAAAGAAAAGTATTTTTGTTCAATTAAAGATACCATGTAAAAGTTAATGATAGATAATAAATTGGGAGGAGATATTTACAATAGTTTAAACCAATGAGGGACTAATTTTCCAGCATCCCAAAGGAATGAGAATAATCAATAAGAAATCAAAATAAAATAAGAAAAGCAATAGGAAAATGGGCAAACTATATGAACAGGCAATTCACAGAAGAAACTCAAAGGAATATGAACTATAGGAAAAGATGATCAAACTCATTGTTAATCCAGATGTGCAAATAAAAAATTTAAAAATAACACATGAAAAGATGCTCAACATCCTACATTATTAGGGATATAGTTGCTAATTAAAGTAACAATGAGATACCCCTACACACCTATCAGGATGGCCAAAATCCAAAACACCGACAGCACCAAATGCGGGAGAGGATGTAGAACAATAGGAACTCTCATACACTGCTGGTGAGAATGCACAACTGTAGACTCTCTTTGAAAGACAATTTGACAGTTTCTTACAAAACTAAACATACTCTTACCATATGATCTCTTTGATATTTACCCAAATGAGTTGAAAACTTAGGTCCATACGAAAACTTGCACATAAACCTGCACATGAATGTTTATATGAAAGCTTCATTCATACTTGCCCAAACTTTGAAGCAGCCAAGACGTCCTTCAGTACGTGAAGGGATAAGTGAATTGTTACATCTAGACAGTGGATCATTCTTCAGCACTAAAAAGAAATTAGCTATCAAGCCATGAAAAGATAGGAAAAAACTAAGTTGCACATTACAAAATGAAAGAAGCCAATCAGAACATGCTACATATTGTATGATTCCAGCTCTATCACACCCTAGAAGCAACAAAACTATGGAGACAGTAAAAGGATCAATGTTGCCAGGAGTTGGAGGAAAGGAGGGATGAAAAGACAGAGCATAGAGACTTTTTAGGTCAGTGAAACTATTGTGTCTGACATTATAATGGTGGATACATGTCATGCATCTGTCACAACCCACAGAATGTATACCTCTAAGATCAAGAACAAGACAAGGATGTCCACACTCACCATTTTTATTCACCACAGTACTGAATGCCCTAGCAGCAATTAGACAAGAAATAAAAGGCATCCAAATCAGTAGATAAGAAGTAAAACTGTCACTGTTTGCAGATGACATGACAACTACATATAGAAAATGCTAAGTACTCCATCCCAAAACTATCAGGACTGATAAATGAATTCAGTAAATTTGTAGGATACAAAACTAATACACAGTAATTACTTGCTTTTCTGTACAGTAATAATGAGCTATCAGAAAGAGAAATTAAGAAACCACAGTCAATTGCAAAGAGAATAAATACCTAGGAATAAATTTAATCCAGGAAATGAAAGACCTGTACTCTGAAAACTCTAAGACAGTGATGAAAGAAATTGATGAAGATACCAATAAATGTAAAGATAGATCATGTCCATGCATTAGGAGAATATTGTTAAAATGTCCACACTGCCCAAGGCAATCAACAGATCTAACGCAATCCCTATCAAAATAATAATAGTATCTTCCACAGAACTAAAATAATCCTAAAACTTGTATGAATTACAAAAGACCATGTATAGCAAACAATATTGACAAAGATAAAAAGCTGGAAGTATCACATTCCCAGATTTCAAATTATACTGTGAAACTATAGTAATCAGAAGAGTCTGGTACTGACACAAAAATAGACACACAGATCAATGAAATAGAACAGACTGCCCAGAAAGAAATCCACACTTATATGGTCAATTATTCTATGACAAAGGAGGCAAGAATATACAGTGGGGAAAGACAGTTTCTTCAATAAATAGTGTTGGGAAAACTGTACAGCTACATACAAAGGAATTTAACTGGATCACTTTCTTGTACCATACACAAATATAAACTCAAAATATATTAAAAACCTAAATGTAAGACCTTAAAACATAGGCAGTAAACTCTTAGACATTGGCCTTAGCAGTATTTTTCTGAATTCGTCTCCCCAGGCAAAGGAAACAAAAGAAAAAAAAAAAAAAAAGGAATTGGGTCTATGTCAAACTAAAAAGATTTTTAACAGTGAGGAAACCATCCACAAAACCAAATGGCAACCTACTGAATGGGAGAGGGTATTTGCAAGTGATATATCTGATAAGGGATTAATATCCAAAACATATGATGAATTCATACAACTCAACACCAAAACAACAAACAAATGAAAAAATGGGCAGAGGACCTTAATAGACACTAGTCATAATGGCTAGTATCAAAAAAGACAATCCTCTTGCAGTGTTGGTGGGAATGTAAACTGGTGCAACCACTATGGAAAAGAGTACAAAGTTCCTCAAAAATTAAAAATAGAAATATTATATGACCTAGTAATTCCACTACTGGATATTTACCCAAAGAAAATGAAAACACTATTTTGAAAAGGTGCACTCCTATGTTAATTGTAGCATCATTTATGATAGCCAAGATATGGAAGCAGTTGAAGTGCCCATCAAGGGATGAATGGATAAAGATGTGGTGTGTGTATATATATATATACACACACACACACAATGGAATATTTCTCAGCCACAAAAAATGAAATTTTTTTTTTTGTGACAACATGGATGGACTTAGAGGTTATTATGCTAAGTCAGAGAAAGACCAATACCATATGATTTCACTCATATCTGGAATCTAAAAAATGACACAAATGAATGAACAAAAAGTAACAGACTCATAAATACAGAGAAAAAACTGCTGGTTCCCAGAGGGGAAGGTGGTGGGGAAATGGGCAAAATAGGTGAAGGGGATTAAGAGGTACAAACTTCCAGTTATAAAATAAATAAGTCAAAAAAATGAAATAAGTCATGGGGATGAAAACTACAGTACAGAGAATATAGTCAACAAAATTATAACAACATTGTATGGTGACAGATGGTAACCACACTTAGGGTGGTGAGCAATGAGTAATGTATATAATTGTCAAATCAATATATTGTATTCTTGAAGGGAATATAATTGTATGTCAACTATACTTCAATTAAAACAAAACAACAATAAAAAAATAGTGACAAAAGAAGAGGAAAGAAGGGAAGTGAGCGAAGGAAGGAAAGAAAGAAGGAATGACCCAGGCAAATAAACTACTGAAAAAAGATAAAAAGCCATCGGAGGCCTCTTCATCTCTTCCACCCCCACACTATTGCTCTTCTACTCTGCGCACCTCCCTGGTACCCTTCACTTCTTCATTCCAGCTCTCTTGCTGAACTTCTCTTTTTCTCAGAATCCCTCCCTATCCCCCTCCTTAGCACCCAATTGAACCTGCCCCTTTAAAATTAGACCCTATGAAGATCCTAATGTTAAATCCTTAATTTCGCATATGCCCTGGACTAAAGCTTTTCCCAAAGTAAGCGAGGTTTCCCACAGATTTGCTGAGGAGGGGCGCCTGGGTGGCTCAGTTAAGCGTCCACCTTCAGCTCAGGTCATGATCTCAGGGTCTTGGGATGGAGCCCCACGTCGGGCTCCCTGCTCAGCAGAAAGTCTGCTTCTCCCTCTCCCTCTGCCGCTCTGCCTGCTTGTGCTGTCTCTCTCTCTCTGTCAAATAAATACTTATTTTTTTTTTTTAATTGCAAAGGACTTTAACATAGTTGTTTGAACTTACCAACCTGGTTTCTCAGACTTCAGCTAGTTCACGTGCTCTTTGGCAAAGGCCAAGCCCAACACTGGAGGCAAACAGCTAAGCAGGACGATTCTGAAAAATCTCTAGGACTGCAAGTGTGAGACCAACTCCCGGCCTTGTATACTGTCAGGGTTGCAATCACTAAGCGACTTCACCTGGCAATGCCTAGGGCTTTCTCGAAACCTATTGACTGGAGTAAGGTTCAGACTTGAATTCAGAAACCCGATGAGCCTGTGCACAACTATTGCAGTTGACTCCAAATTGTTTCCAAGGAAAATTCTGGCCTTCTACCGATGTTGAATCCACTTGGGTAGTCTTCCACTCTGTGTTTATGAACAGGCTGAACTGTGATCTTTTCTTTCTAGTTAAAAGGACCAGGATGGAATAGGAAACCACATCCACTCTAGCTTTGGTTAAGTTAGAACATCGGCTCGTGCTCACCGTAGGTGTTTCAACTAAAAGGAAATCCACTGAAATCCTTAATTTTCAACTCCAACAAATGGAGGCCCCTAAACGAAGCCAAACTTTGTCTGGTCTTTGTCATTACTGCAAAAGCTAGGACACTGGAAGAAAGATTGTTACCAATTTAAGCTCTCCAGGAGCCTTCAGCCCTCCAACCAACCTTTTCCTAATTACAAGCCTCTGAGGAACTACAGGAGCATTTCTCCATCTTTCTCCAGGTTGGAAATGAATCTCTCTCTGTGTTTAATGACACCTGAGCTGCACTGTTGGAGCTCAGCCCCACTGTTATTTAACAGTCCCTGCCTCGACAGATTCAAATGATTCAACTAGCAGGAGTTTCCAATAAACCTCAATGCATTCCTGTCTCTAAACTTACTCCCTTTATTTACGCCCTCTATGATGAGATACTCACCCTTTTCTCCTGACTTCTTTCAGCCCTATCCTTTTATTGGGCTAAGATTTCTTAGAGAAATAACACACTAAAATTTCTTTCTCCCGAAACGGGGAGATAATTCTAGAATTTGATAGCAGTAACCAAAATAGGCGACCAGATGAATCAAATAACCCTTCAATATCTTTATTTGTTCCATCTCTGGCAACACGAGACCTAATAGTAAGGATACTAACTATGGGTCCCTATTGGATAAGCTGTAGGGCATCAAGCCCATAATAAAAAATTATTAGGAGTATTCAGGGGTTTACGGCCTCCTTACTTCTGCCCTGGGGATAGGATGTGCCAATATCTCCTTACCTTTATTTAGGAACGAAAACATTACAACTAGACTCTAATGCGCCAAGGATTTACCAAAAGTCCTTCCTACTTCTTCCAAAATTTAAAAGCAGTTTTAGACGATACAGAGTTACCTGGAGGCTCTGCTTTATGACAATATGCAGAGCACTTGCTTTCTCTGCTCCCCTTCTCAGGCCTCTTCGCATGGAAGACAGCATCCACCTGTTAAACTTTTAGCCTTAAAGGGACACAAATCTTCAAGGAGAAATTGCAGTTTGCTCAAACTAAACTTTGCTATATGGGGCACCTAATTTCAGAACAAGGGCTACATTTAGATTCAAATGGGCATCTTGAACTTGCTCAAACCCCAAACCAAGTGCCATTTACAAGGTTTTCTTGGCTAGCAGGCTACTGTATTAAAAAACAACATGGGGCACCTGGGTGGCTCAGCCAGTTGAGCGTCTGCCTTCGGCTCAGGTCATGGTCCCAGTATCCTGGGATTGAGCCCCACATCGGGGTCCCTGCTCAGTGGGGAGCACGCTTATCCCTTCCCCTCTTCCCCCTGCCAGCTCGTGGTCTCTCTCTCTCTCCCTTTCTCTGCACTCTCTTTCTCAAATAAATAAATTAAAAAATTAAAATAAAAAAAAACTTTAAAAAATAACAAACCTGACCCTATTATTTGGGAAGATCAGGATGATTTAGCCTTTAAAACCCTCAAGGAGGGACATCTAGGTGGCTCAGTTAAGCATTTGCGTTCAGCTCAGGTCATGATCCCAGAGTCCTGGGATCGCGTCCCAGATCAGGCTCCCTGCTCAGCGGGAAGCCTGCTTCTCCCACTGCCTCCTGCCTCTGCTCATGCTCTGTCTCTCTCAAATAAATAATTAAAATCTTTAAAAACAAAATAAAACCCTAAATGAAAGCTTAAAAAAATCCCCTGCCCTTGGACATCCTAATGACCAATTTCCTATTTCCCTCTCCCTCCTGAATTCTCATTACACATACCCACTCCTCACATAACTAATCTTAACCCTGCCACCCTCCTTCCCTCTTCTGTGGATGGTACTCCTCAGGAGTTTTTGTCTCCGACAGGTCACCTCCTGCCCCTGCCTGATGACTTACAGGGAACTCCTTTGATTAACACCAACTTTTTTGTACTGACAGTTCTTATTTAAAAGGATCAAAATGGTAAATATTATGCTGGGTATGCTCTTCCAACTCCTTTGGAAGTCATCAAGGTACCTTGGTTACCTCGCCCCAACAGTCCGAACTGTCTTACTTGAGCTTGCATTTTAGCCGACAGCAAAGCCACATATACATATATGACAAGAGTGATGTCTTTGCAATAGCTCACGACTTTGGAATGCCACAAAGTACACTGCTCTCAAAGAAACCAACAACCAAACTTCTGTCATGGTCCACGGAGATGTTTCTTCAAAGAGATAATCTAGAAAAGTTGACTAGAGATGCCCAGCAGTTGGCCCTAGAAAAGGAAAAACAATATTGGAATTCTAGTAATTGTTAATTTGGTTAAAAAAAGAAAACTCTGGCTTACGCCAAAAATAATCCAGTCCTGCCAGAGACTCCAAATTTCCCATTACTGATTATTATCCATGCATTGAATCACTGGTATACTGAAAAAAATGATAATCTTTGTGAATCAGCAGTGGGATATATTAATAAGGCTGCAAAGAGTGCCTGCTTTGCTTGCCTACCCCTCCGGCTGAAATATGATTCAAGAACACCTGTTCACACTGCTCCCAAGCACTTTAAATTCCCGAATGGAGGTTTGATATTTGGGGCACCTCATTTCAGAATAAGAAAAGATCTTGATCTACTAGAAAAGATCATCCCAACCTGAAGAAGCCCCTGGAACTTCAGAGTGATGGGGGAAGTCCCTTCACTGGACAAGTGTTTTGACAGATCTGTGCTGTTTGGGCAGTTTTACAGCACTTTCACTGTGCTTACAACCCTCAATCCTCAAACATGAGAACAGTGTAATTAAGACCCAATTAGCAAAATTTGCAGAGACCCTTCAAATACCCTGACCAAAGGCACTGCCATTAATCCTTCTAAATCTCTGGTCTACTCCTTTTGATGATATTGCGAACACCTAATTGTTAAACCATGCTTTAGTAAAACAATCTTTACACAGCTTGCCCGAGGGGATGAAGACCTTAAACATCTCCCCATGCAGCCCAGAGATTTTGTCTACTGGAAACGATATCTTCAGAAAGATTTCATAATGCAACTCTGTTGGAAAGGCCCCTCTCAGGTACTGTTAACCAACCCTTATGCAGCCAAACTCCAAGGAATCGATTCTTGGATCCATGTGTTGCATCTAAAGAAAGCACCAAACCCTGACTGGACCTGCACACCAACTGGTGGCCTGAAAAATAGATTTCCAGGAATCAAAACAGCTGAAGGAGAGAGCTTTCCCCAAAATGACAGAACCAGGCTTGTTTACCTTCTCCTTGCTGTTGGCTTCTTACCTTATTTCCTTCCTTACTTTCTTGACCCAATCTGTTGCAAAAAAGGAAACCTCTCTGACTGTTGATCAGAGTTACCAGAAACTCTGATCTATTTCATGACGTCAGGGATCCCTTGGTTTTATCTGTACGCAATTTTTGTTTGATTCCAAGACCTATCCGTTTAGGCTGTTAGAGCCAGATGCTCTCATACCTGTTTCAACCTTTCTCTAACCATAACCATACCTCTTTAGCTGGTTGTCTTCAAGTTTGGCTCCTGGTTTAGAACTATTATACACATACAAACTGGGGTCATTATTCTGCTATGTAATCATTTTTAAATTTTGCACCTGTTGCCTGTCAAATCTCTACAGAAGTGATGCATCCAGGAGGGTGGTGTTAGCTCAGCACTTACAGATGGTCTCCAATGCTTCCAACCTTGTAAGATCTAGACCTCAGATGGGAAATGCCTGAGAGTTATCCCTCATTCCCTTCCTCATTACTTAAATGAGGCCTCAAGAGTTTGCAATCTGTGTATTTTCCCTCTGATGTGGAACAGGACAACCAGTAAATGTCCTTCCTGGCACCAAGGGACAAAACCACTAAGTATCAAAAATCTAATCTTGAGCAGCAATGTTTTGAGGAAAGATCTTAATCAAAAGGGGGAAATGTGAAAATAAATAAAAGAAACCTCATTTAAAATTGAATAGGGAAGCCCTGAAGCATGAGCTTTCATGTACTACTAGTCACCGTAAGAAGCAAACCTCACATTTCCCAACAGGAAACTTATTTTACGTACCCCAGCAGTGCGAAGGAAGAATTTCTCCTTATCTAGCAACAGCCCAGCCAATGAGAACTCGGTGAAACAGCCCTCTCAGCTTCCTCCTTTCTTCTGTAAAAGCAAGCCCCTCTCCTCTGTTCTCCAGACTTGCCTCTGGTTCACCATAATTTGCTTGTCCTGAGATGCAATTCCTCTGCTATTCCCCAATAAACTCATTTTGCTGGTAAAATAGGGGCTCTTTTGTTTAAGGTCAACAAATATGAAGGACTTAGAGTAGCCACAATAATTTGGAAAATGTACAAAGTTGAAGCATTCTTACTACCTGACTTCAAGAGGTTTAATATAAAGATATAGTAATCAAGACTATTTTATTTTAGCATAGGGATAGTCAGTAGAATATTCAGAAATAGACGCACACATGTGGTCAACCGATTTTTTTTTAATATATATGAAGAAGTCAAATAACTCAGTGAGGAAAATTACTCTTTTCTGGAAATGATGGTGGAAAAACTGGATATCCACATGGAGGAAAAAATGAGCCCCAACTCTTAGCTCTCATCATATAGAAAATTAACTTGAAATGGAACAATGACCTAAATAACTCTTCTAGGGAAAAAAAAAAAAAAACACCAGAAAATCTTTTTGACTCTAAGGTAGACAAAAGCTTGTTATATGGATGGATACAAAATGTATGAAATATTAAGGGAAAAAATTAGACAATGGACTTCATTAAAATTTAAAGCTTTTGCTCTTTGAAAATTACTATTAAGAAAAAAAAGGCAAGTCATAGATTTACAATACATATATCTAGTAAAAGACTGTTATTTAAAATATATTTATTACAGAGATGTTGATAATGTGAGAGGCTATGCATATGTTGAGGGCAGGGGACATATGCAAAATCTCTAGTTTCTGCTCCATTTTGTTGTGAACATAAAACTGCTTTAAAAAATATAATCTATCAAAAAATATAATCTATTAAAAATACAGGACAGAAAAAAATGCTTACAGCTCAATAACAAGAAAGCAAATAATCCAACTACAAAATGGGCAAAAGATTCGATAGGTATTTCACATAAGACCTATAAATAGCCAACGGCACATGAAGAGATCAGTATCATTAGTCATCAAAAACATGCAAATTAAAACCATGCAACTGCATTACATAACTATTATAATAACTTTTTTAAAAAACACCATAGCTAGTGCTGGCAAGGATGCAAAACAAGTGCAACTTTCATGTATTGTAAAATGGTACAGCTACGTTGTACAAGTTTGACAGCTTCTTTAAAAGTTCAGTGTTTATCATATGATTTAGCAATTCTTTTCCAAGGTATATATCCAAGAAATGAAAACATATGCACAAAACTTGTAAAGGAATGGTCATAGAAGTTTTATTCATATTAGCTAGAAGCTGGAAACCCATTAAGTGAGCAGTGGATCCATGCAATGGAGTATTATACAGCAATATAAAGCAATGAACTACAGATACATGCAACATGAACTAATCTTAAAAACACTATATTGAGCAAAAGAAGTCAAAAAAGAGTGTGTGATTTCACTACTTATTAAACTCTAGTTAGATAAATCTATCTGGAGTAATATAAAGTAATATAAAGCCAATCATTAAGTGGTTTCCTAGGCTACAGTTTAAGTATGGAGATTGACTGGAAAGAACACAATAAAAACTTCAGGGGTGATGAAAATATTCTGTATCATGATTAGGTTAATGTATACATTTCTCAAACCTCACCAAATTGCACATGTATGGTGCATGCAATTTACTGTGGGATATAGATTATGCCTCAATAAAATTGACTTAAAAACCCATTTTAGAGTGCCTCTTCTTAGGATACAGTTCTAAGAGAACATTCCTCCTATCCTAACATGAAAAAATAGTTAATCTAAAAAATCATAGTTTTACTTGAACCCATTAGAGTATAGAGGTCACCAGGCAACAAAGTGAACTAAATTCTAAAAAATGACAAGATTCTCCAAGGGGAACTGATATAAATGAACCGTATATTTGACAAGACAAGAAGAAAGAGTGCATAAAGCAATTAAGAATAAATCAGTTAGGGGCGCCTGGGTGACTCAGATGGTTAAGTGTCTGCCTTTGGCTCAGGTCATGACCCCAGGGTCCTGGGATCGAGCCCCATGTCGGGCTCCTGGCTCAGCAGGGAGCCTGCTTCTTCCTCTCCCTCTGCCTCTCTCCCTGCTCTCTCTCTCTGTATCTCTGTGTCTCAAATGAATAAATAAAATCTTTAAAAAAAAAAAAAAAAGAATAAATCAGAGGCACCTGGTTGGCTCAGTCAGAACATGTGACTCGATCTTGAGGTCATGAGTTTGAATCCCATGTTGGGTGTAGAGATTACTTAAAAATAAACTTAAGCAAAAAAAGAAGAAATCAGTTAATGTTTAATGGATTTTTAAAGGATGACTGTGCTAGGCTAGTGCTATAGTTTGCAAAAACAGCAGAAACAGAGGTGCTACAGGAAATGTTAAATTTTTGAAAGAAACACATTCATAATGTCCATCTGTCCAAAATATTAACCAGCAGTTTAAGATAGTTCAACTTCATCATTAGATCCCACTACATTACAAAGTTGTTTTTTGATGGTTTCTTTGATAAAAAGTACTATGAGAAAATAAATGTAGAATAGGTATTGAGGGTGGCAGTCTCCAATATGATTCCGTGATTTAAGAAGTTGTACAACAGGTACACACATCCCAAGGATAAGTACTTGTGGTTACTATCATTTTTTTTTCAATACTCAGAAAGCTAAGATTAGAAGGGAACTTCCTTGACAAGATAAAGGTCATATACAAAAAGGCTATGGCTACTTCCATACGCAGTGGTGAAAGAATGAATTTATCCCAGATGGGAATAAGGCAATTCTTATGATAGGATGCCCATTCTTACCAACATTATAAAAGAGGTCCTAGAAGTACATTAAAGCAAGAAAAAAAAAAAGGCATAAAAGTTTGCAAAGATACAAATAAAACTCTTTTTTCCAAGATATGATAATCTATGTAGAAAATCTCAAATCTGGAAGAAGCTGTTATAACTAATTATTGAGTATAGCAAGGCCACAGGAAAAAGGTTAAATCCAAAAATCAATAAATACTTAAAAATTGAAATTAAAGGGGTACCAGGGTGGTTCAGTTGACTGAGCATTAGACTCTTGGTTTCAGCTCAGGTCATGATCACAGGGTCATGATATCAAGCCCCGCATCGGGCTCTGTGCTCAGCTAGGAGTCTGCTTGGGATTCCCTTCTTTTTCTCCCTCTCCCTCTGTCCCTCCCCATGTTCTCTCTCTTAAATAGAATCTTTTAAAAAATTGTAATTAAAAAAAGCATTTATAAGGGATGAATTTAACAATTTAGCAAGATTTGTATAGTGAAAAATCACAATGAGAGAAATTAAAGACATAAATAATGGAATATATACTGTATTAAGTCGGACATCTCAATCTTGTTAAACTATCAATATTCTCCAAATTGATTATATGCTCAATATAATCCCAATCAAAATCCTAGCAGGCTTTTGGTAGAAATTTACAATTTGATTCTAAAATGTATGTGGGAAAGCAAAGGAATTTAGAAGGCCCTAACAATTTTGAAGAACAAAATTTAGAACTACCACCTGATTTCATAATTTATTATTTATTTAAAGATTGTATTTACTACTGAGAGAGAGCATGAGCGCACAAGTGGGGGGTGGAGGGGTAGGCAGAGGGAGAGGAAGAGAGATAATCTCAAGCAAACTCTGTGTGAGCAGAGAGGCCCACATGGGGCTTGCTCCCACGACCCTAAAATCATGACCTGAGCTGAAACCAAGAGTCGGTCGCTTAACCGACTGAGCTACCCGGGTGCTCCCATAATTTACTATTTAAACTGCAATAACCAAAACAGTGTGTTGTTGGCATAGGCAGAAATATAAATTAATAGGACAAAATAGGAAGCCCAGAAACAGACCCACCTACATATGAACAACTGATTTTCAATAAGGTAAAAGAGAAATTCAGTGGAAAAAGTCTTTTCAACAAATGATGTTGGAAAAATGGATATGCATATCCAAAAAAACCAAAACGAAAACCTAAAAATATCCCCCCATAACTCCTTTCGTTCATACTGCACATTATATACAAAAAACTTGAGATGGATCACAGACTTAAATGTAATTCCTAAACGTATAACCATTTTAAAATATAAGAAAAATCTTTGTGATCTTGTGTTAGGCAAAGACTTCTACACACAAAGAAGGAACCATAGAAGAAAAAAAAGGGAGAAACTGGATTTTATCAAAAATTTTTAAATTCTACATTTCAAAAGACACTGTTAAAAAAATGAAGACAAGTCACAGACTAGGAGAAAATATTTGCAGTTTATCTGATACGTGAATTGCATCAATAATTCTATTTATAAAACTGGAAAAAAATTTGAAGACTAGAAAGAAGAATGACAAACACATTAAAAGATGTTGAATATCATTAGTCACTAGGGAAATGCAAATTACTTGTTACCACTAGACACCTACCAGAATGGCGACATGAAAAAAACAAACAAACAAGCAAACCCTACCATACAAAATGCTCACATGGTTAAAGAGCAACAAGAACTCTCATCTATAGCTGGTGGAAACATAAAATGGCATATCCACTTTGGAAAATAGTTTGGCAGTTTTTTGTTAAGTAAAACATACTTTACCATACAACCTAGAAACCCCGAAGTATTTCCCAAGGTTAGAATATGCCTATCCAGAGACTGGTCCATGACGGTTTACTGCATCTTTATTCATAATGGCCTAATGACTGGAAACCCAGTTGGTGAATGGATAAACTGTAGAACATTCAGTATGAAGAACAGCACTTAATAATAAAAAGTAATGAGCTACTGTTAATGCAAAAACACATTAATCTCAAAAACATTATACTAGGTGAAAGGTCAGCTCAAAGCCTTTATTTTGTATATTCCTTTAAATAACATTATGGAAAAGGTAAAACTATGGGGACAAATCAGTGGTTGCCAGGGACTAGGTATGGGGAAATTAGTATAGGATAACTTTTTTGGGGTGCTGGAAAGGTTTTTGTATCTTAAATATGTTGGTGGTTAAATAACTGTATAATATGTCAAAGCTTATTACAATGTATACCTAAAAAGGATGAATTTACCTTATATAAACGTGATCTAAATTTTTAATGGGAAAAAATATCAAAAACCAGCCAGGGAGGGAATTTTTTTTTTTTTTTTTTTGGCTATTTCACCTTAAAGACATTGGAAATGCAACATGTTTCTCTTGCATTATGGTGTCTTTACAAGTTGTGTTCTTCCCTTATGAGTAGAAAAAGTCTATCATGCCACCTAACAACATATTTCCTATCAAAAGATAAAGGAACAGACAAATCAAAATGTTTTATATTTTCCTATTATATATCACACCTCTGAATATCTCTTCACAAAGTATCATCTTTCCTAAGCAGCCGTAAGTTACAAATACCAGTTTTCATTTATATATAAGCATAGTGTTTTAATTTTAAGAGGGGACCTAACCTCTGTATTATTCAAGTCAATAAAATAAATATTAAAATCCCCAAAATCATATTACTTAAGGCCTTTCTCTATTTTAATTTCTAGATGAGACTTAGGTATTTCTCTATGTTTCAGGTGATTCTTATTAGTTGAGTTAAAAAGCAAAAGATAGTAAAAAGACTCTAGTAATAGAGATACTGATAAGGCATATAAATGTTCCATATATACTAACAGATCAGGTAATAATGGAAAGACAAAAGTTTAATAATGCTGGCCACTTACAGCACATAGCATTTCTGGGAAAGAACCAAAATAATGAAAAAAATGCAACTGATATGTGAGGCATTGGTTTAGCTCCTGGGGTTACAGCAGTGGTAAGATGAAGTCCTTCCCCTAATGGAACTTACATGTTCATGAGGAAGCAATGACAAATGAAAAAAACAAAGTCAAGTAATGGTAAGTGCTAGAAGGAAAAGAAAAGAGATTAAAAAATGATTGATAGGGGCAGGGTACCAGTTTAGAGACTTGATATGACATGTGAGCAGACTTGAATTATGTAAGCGAGGGAGTAAGCTTTGTACAAATTAGGGATAAAGGCATTCTTGACAGAGGGACCAGCAATGCAAAGTCCCAGAAGTATTCTTTGGGGTATTCTAAACAATGGAGTAGTGTGAGTGAGAGAGAAAGACTAGAAATAGCTAGGGGTAAAGTGCCACATATTATAAAGTTGTGAATGCCAAGTCCATTCATTTATCAAAAATTACGGAACATTGGCAGTTGTGTTTTTTCTTAATGTTATTGGTGGAGAAGGGCGGAGTCTGGTTTTCCGTATTTTAAGATTAGATGCCTATTAGATATCTAAGTGGAGATGAGTTCAGGGGAGTAGCTGAAGCTGAAGATACTCAGCGCAGAAACTGAAAGAAAAAGAAAAACAGTAAAGCTGGTGAGACAGGGGACAGAAATAAAAAATGTTATGAGAGTAATACCACGGGTTTCCAGAAAGTAGAAAGAACTGGTCGAGGCAAGACCTGATCTAAAAAATATAAACAGTGCTCCATGCATTACGAGCCCTCCTTAATACCCATCACTGGGTTAACCCGGAGCACTGGGTGTTATACGAAAACAATGAATCGTGGATCACTACCTCAAAAACTAATGATGTATTTTATGGTGACTAACAAAATAAAATTTTAAAAAATTAAAATAAATAAACAAAACCACACCTAAACTCAGCATAGTGAAACTGAAGAACACCAGAGACAAAGCAAAGTTTTGAAAGGTAAAAAGAGGAAAAAACAATGAGTGCCAGGTCAATTCCACAGCTCATCGACAGATTGGAAACCTAACAGTCGTCTATAATAGTAAAACCACAACGCAATCCACATTTCTGCCAGATAATGTAGATCAGTGCAGTCAATATCTTAGCTCATTTAAGAGAAGCATGATGAGCTCAGGTTTTGTTTGGGGACTATTTATACCATTTCAATTTAATACTTAGATCAAGACTCAAATGTAGACTGGGACATAGAATTAAAAGCATCTTATTCATTTGGGAGTTTGAACTACCAATCTTGTTTCAAATAAAGATTGGTTAAGTTTGTTTGTTTTAATTAAAGGACAAGGTGGCTAATGGCCTTTTAGGATAGAAAATATGGCACATGAAGCCCCACTGAAGAATTTGTATAGATAGTTGGAAAAAATCTGGAAAGTATTTTTTAATCCTACTTTACCAAATAACCTTATCTTTCATTCTTTAATGTAGTTAATATCTCTTACCCTTAGGTCTTTCCTTATAAAAGAATCCAAACATTTCCTGTAATAAAATCAATCTATTAAGTTAAAAAAAGAAGAAAAAAATTAGCATAAAGCATCTATAAAGTCAATTACTGCAGTCATTGTCAGGAGAAAATATAATATCAACTGTTTTGTTTTAAATGTCTAAATTTAGAAGACTTTGACATTATGTTGTCTCAGGATATTTTTGTTGTACTATTGCCTAGTTATCTGCCCTTAAACATGTTCATCACAAATCTTGCATGAAGTGCTACAATATGTGTAATCGATCTGTATTTTTAAATTGGGTCTTGAATTTAAGTAATGGGTTTGATAGTTGGTTTATATTAACATGCTTAAATATCAATTTAGAAACATTTAAAAGTATTTTTTGCATTATTTGCTAAGTAACAAACTACTTAAAATTTTAACAATGAAGCCACATTTGTGAGTTCACATTACAATTTCAAATGAAGCTGGGTTAAGTCCAAAAGAATCCCATATTTAAAAATTAGCTGTTTTTCCACCACCTAGGCCCACCCCAAATCAATATACTCCTTGCAAAAGAAAAAAAACCCACAACTATAAAACTCCATTATTATTTAGTCAGAAACAAAGTAACGAACGGAATTATGCCAATTACCCCAGTGGGTATTCTTTAAATCTCGTGGAAATGAAATCAGTGTCAATCAGTGTATCTATACAACCTTTTCATTATTTAACTACAAAAATGGATTATAGAAATTATCACATATGTAATCTACTATGTTTCATGCTATAAAGGTTTGTTTTATTAAGCCACTCACTCTGAAATTAATGAACAAATCATTCACACTCCAGTTTTCCACAGCTTTCCAGTCTAAAATTATTTTCTAACATATCCTGAACAAAGAATATTTTCTTTATAAGCAAACAGGCCATTGCTTTTAATAAGAATCATTTATTGTATATTATTAAAGTGGAGGGTTAACTGGTACAGTACTATGCATAATCTCTCACCCTTGAAAACTTAAACACAAATGGATAAAAATAGCAAAGCAGAATGAGCATGTAAAAGACAAAATTTAAGCATATTTTATAGAGAATGTTCCCTGTGATATTTATGCACTAATGTTCTTCTCCATTGTGTTTTAATAAATTTATGGCTTATTCCTCTTCTACAGGATTGTGGACTTCTTACAAATAATGAACATATTTTCCATCAATGAATGTTACATACAGTTTTAGATTCTTCATTCAACTCAACTAATTAGGTGACTAAAATATTCAACTAAATGTGGCATTGTTAAGAAATTAGAGCCCATTCCATTGCCTCAAAATATGTAATAATGTTCTTCTATGTAACCTGTACAATAGGATATAATGCAAATATCCCAGCTACAAATGTGAATTAAAAATGCCAACCCTGATCTGCTCACTGTGTTAATATTACAATTTCATTAAGTATTATATTTTTTTGTTAAATGCTATCTGTGGAATAATCATTTATACTAAACGTGGAAAAAAGTGGAAAAGCTTAAAAAATGTGTACCGGCACTAGACTGTTTAATCACTTTTATATTTAATTATAAATTAATGTTTAGAAAATGAGCTATTCTTCCTATGTTACCTGATATGCCAGGAAAAAATAGATTATTATTTTCCAGGGTAACTAAAAGAGGTATCACTACTCAAAAAAGGGGGGGGGAGGAAAGCTTTGTTTTGTACACATAAAATTTTAGACCTAAATGGATAAAAGGAAAACGTTTAAAAAATACATCCATCTATGGACGAATTTCTGTAGATTGCTCCCACAGTTAATCAACAGGGACACATTTAAGAATATTATAGGCATATACCAATATACTTATATTTGTCAAAGTTAAGATTCAAATTTGCTACAGCACAGCACACATCCAAGAATGTATGCTACATGATTCAAAAAGTTCCACTGAATATAACAAAATAAAAATCTGTGAATAAATATAAGGCTTTCTAAAATAAAATCTGCAGGAAACCAACAAGAGTCCAACAAAGATTTCTACGATCTAAATTTTACTTCATAGATTCATATAGTCTTCAAAATAGATTTAGTTGTAGTGCCACACATTAACAATAGTTAACTGCTTACCAAAATACCTTTTTCCTGGTAGCTAAACGTTACTACTTAAAAAAAAAGAAAAAAAAAAGTTAAGTGCTTGGAATAAGAATGCAGCAGAAAATTACAGGAGCCCACATATCCTTTTTCTTAAATTTAATTTGTCATATATAAGGTTTTTATATACAATCAGTGTGCATTGTAACAGTTTATATTAAAAGTCAATCAAGTTTATCTAAAATGTTACCTGGCTGCATAGCACATTTGACATTATTGCCCACATGAAAAGGGAAAACAAATGGATTTACAATAACTTTTGGCCATTTTGGATTCTGAAAAGTGTTCATACACCTACCCTTTTAAACCAAATGCATCTGAAAAAAATGTTTCCAGAGCATGCAGTTTAGATTTTACATATTATCTCACCATTTTGTTACTACAAACACAATATTTACTACAAAAGAAAAAAAAGAAATAACATGTATCTAATAAAATAGTCAATATAAAAAGAGGACTAATGGAATTAAGTGGCCCCTTTCCCCATTTTTACATTCTAAACAATGATTCCATCAAGACAAATCATTAAAAAGTGTTATTACACTGATATTTTTAAATGATAAGAAGGCCTGAGTTGGTAGGGAAAGGAACAGTCAAAAAAAGCCTGAGAAGGGAAAGGAAGTAAGGAAAGCTCATTTAATCCATTTACAATAATTTACAGCCATTTGTGTGTGTGTGTGTGTGTGTGTGTGTGTAAAAAGGCATAATAATAGATCACAAACAGGAAATTCCTGGCTATTTTACAAGATATAAGTACAGAATTTAAATATTCAAGCTTGTGATGAAAAGCGGCAAGGTGGTCGCAGTGTACAATGTAAACAAGTAGCTTTGGAAAGTGAACAAAGTCCTTGAGTGTTTTTTCTTTATTAAGAAAAGAACTCTCTTTCATTCCTTCCTGAAACATGATCACAGGTCAGAGTAAAGTTCATATACAAACATAATTTAAATGGAGGTCAGTCTAAAATCACTGACTTAAAAACAGTTTTATCCAGCCTATATGGAAGGGCAGTGTTGAGGTCCCTGTAATAGTAAACATTTTCCATTTCTTTAAAAAAGAAAAAAAAAAAAAGTACTACAGTATTTGTAGTACAGTGCAGCATAATCCTTAAATATAAAAATATTTTCTCTTCTGTTGGGATAATAGACCTTGCATCCTGGAAAGAAGTAACAATACTGCTACTGATAGAAGATCTGTTTATATCTTTCAAGTCATGTAAGGCAATTACTGTGTTGGTTTATGATATATGGCTAAAAGAAAAGTCCAGAAAGACAAAATATCAGTTTTTGTTATGTTTTCCGACTACTCCAGGTATGCTCAGGTGTACTTTTGTGTTCAATTGAGTGTTCAAATGGAGATCTGGAGCCATAAGGAGACCTCTGATCTAGTGGTGATCTGGGGCCACTACTGGAAGCTCTGTGGTCCATTTGCCAATCTGAGTGATACCTATAATCCCTGGAAGATTTATGGTGTGTATATTCAGAACTTGCCCGATGGTCTGAATGTAACCGATGGTCTGAATGAGAACGATGATCAGAATGAGATCTATCCTTTAAACTTCCTTCCAAATTTGACCTGTGATCTCTACTCCTGTGATCATCCAGTTTTCTGTGTTTCTCTCTATCACTGTAATACCTAATAAAAGACAAATTAGGAATTAAATTAACAATGCAAATTAAATGTTTCCAAATAAAATAATTATTAAAAAATAAAACACAAAAATACTTTAAGGCATCCTTTTAATTGTATATAAGCTCTGTGTTTCACTACAAAAACTTCCTAAGTGAGCTTTAGTTATTGGACCTATCTCTGCATGCCTCTCTGGAAAAATCATTCAATTCACAAAACTAAAGTGAACCATACAGAACACCTCAGGCAGCATCTAATTTTACATGCCCATTTTATTTTTTAATTATTTTTTTAACTATTTAATACAATTTTATTTTTAGTTAAAGCATAACTGATGTACAATATCACATTAGTATCAGGTCTGCAACATAGAGATTTGAAATTAAACACATTATGAAAAGCCCATCATGGTTAAGTGTAGTTACCATCTGTCCAAAGTTATTACAATACTGACTATTCCTAAGCTGTACTTTATATCCTCACAAGTTATTTTATACCTGGAAGTCTGTACCTCTTAATCCCCTTTACCTATTTCACCTATCCCCCTATTTCACCTATCCCCCCCCATTCCCCTCCCTCCTGACAACCATCAGTTTGTTCTTTCTATGTCTGAGTCTTGATTGTTTTTTTTTTTTAAGATTCCAGACACAAGTGAAATCATATGGTATTTGTCTCTGAGTTATTTCCCTTAGCTCACATGCCCATTTTTCAATAAAGTTGCTACATTTTATTCTATGCAAAAACTGTACTAATCCATCTTAGTTATCTGGAAGTGAGGATTAAGATAATGATCTAGAATACCCTTGAAATCAGAGCCTTTTATAAACCTCTAAAGCAGAAAAAAAATAAAAACCTCTAAAATGCAGTCTGTGGACTAATTTGTGGGAAGGGAATTTTCATTAGTTGGGGAAAGGTCATTGTTATAAACAACATAAATTATGTTCTATAAGCCTGTGAAATTATAAAAATTTACTACTACAAATACAGCTTTTCGTTTCGTGTGCCCTTTTCTAATTGTGAGAGCCATTCTACAATTGATATATTTAATGACAGTGCTTCTACTACAGAAGGAATTATTACAGTGAGCACAACTAAAATGCAAAGAAAATCTACTAATTTATTTCTCATTTTTTACTTTTCTGTTTTTTCTTTTTCTTTTCATAATTATCATTAACTTATGAAAATATTCCTTTACCAAGTAAAATGTATTTTGTTGTTATTTAGGTTGTTTACTACTTAAAGGCTTCAAATAACAATAAACAGAGAAACCTTCCTGATTTCAAGACTTCCCAGATTGCTGTGATTAAGTTTAAAATCAGGAAAGTGTTTTCACGTGAGTTAGTTTTTCCTGTGTTTTTTTTTAACGGAATGGAACACAGAACTCCCCCACCAAATTTCAGTCATATTCCATTGAGCTTTTATTTTACTCTATTATTGTATTTTGAAGAATATTTGAGCCAATATTCTAACACCAACCAATAAAAATGAATCCTATGACTTATTAATTACAGAACTCCCTACACTTTCATCTCTTACTGCACACGTGGATCTTAAATTTAGAATTAAAAAAAAATTTATAGAAATTCAGTTCTCAATATTAACAAAAAGGGCTATGTATCAGTTTTTTTATTTGTAAACAAACACCTTCATTTCACTTAAGATTTGTTATGATTACCTGAATACCAAATTGACTGATAAAGTATTGTAAATTAAAAAAAAACATGAATAAGCAAAATTTCAAAACTAATTGTCCAATTTACCTGCTTTCCTGCTTGTAATGATCCCAGTCACGATGATCTTTACCATTGCTAAAAGAAGAATAGGGTCTTTTCCTAGAGTCACTCTTTTTGTAAGAATCTCCCTGATGTCGGTCTTTATGATGATCATGATACTGAGATAAGTGTCTGTCAGATGAATAACTGTCCCTGCTGCTATCATCATGATTTGTATTCTCTTTTAATCTTTCCACATCTGTTAGAGAAAAGAATACAGCTTTTGTTAATGATGTAAAAAACAAAACAAAACAAAAACATGGTAAGCAAAATTAACTTTGCTGCTAGGTTATAAAAACTCCTATTTCAACTCCAGAAAAACAAAATCAGTTGCCCAACAGACAGCTAAAGACTTTAGAAATGGTCTATAAAGGCAGTACAGTAAGGCCTACAAAAGGGTTACTGTATTCTGAAATGTGAAAAAATATAACTGAAAAATTTAAGGCCCATTTTCTTCTCAGACTATACTTTTGTGACTCTTGCACCAATAGAATACATTATTCGAAATAGTATTTTTAAAAAATACATTCACTTTAACAATTATTCTATAAGTTCTAGGAACTGACAAAAGGCTGATTTATGGAAAGGTTAATTAGCTAAAAAGAATTACTGTTTAAGATAACAGATTCGATACAGAAATGTGGGTATGTATTATGTAAAACAAACCTGAAAGAGGAGAACAATTTTTAAATTTACTCTCTAAAACAATCAGTAACACTTACCTGGATTTCTAATCACTTGAGCATTCAAGTTGCTGTTCTGGTCATTATTTTGCTAAAATAAATGCACATATGTAAGAATCTTTTAAGTGGCTTCAAATACCCTTACAAAATAGGAAAAAGAAAAAAAAAACCAAAACACCCTAAAAAGAAAATTCTGATGCTGAAAGAAGTCCTCATATATTAGAATGTATAAATGTATCACTTCCAGATACCTTTTTTTAAAGCATAGACTATTTGTCCCATGACTTTCTTAAAAATTTGACTTGAAAGACTTTGACTTACAGAAAAGCTGCAAAAATAGTACCTAGAGTTCCCATATGCCTTTTACCCAGCTTCTCCTAATGTCAGTATCTTACACACACCACAGCATAATCAAAACTGAGTAATTAACATTGGTACAATACTATGAACTGAACCTGAAACTTTATTCAAATTTTACATTTTCCCACTAAAATCTTTTTTCTGCTCCAGGATCCAATCTGGTATTCCATATCAACACGGAGTTTTCATGTTTTCTTAGTTTCCTCCAATCTAGGACAGCTTTTTTTTTCTTGTCTTCGATGACCTGGACACTTTCATAGAGTACTAAACAGTTATTCTGTAGAACATCTTTCAATTGGGGTTTGTCTGATATTTTTCTCATGATCAAACTAAGGGTATGCATATTTTTGCCAAGAATTCCATAAAAGTGATGTACCTTTCTTAGTGCATGTAATGAGGGTTTATGATGTTAACTTTGATCAAATGTTTAAGGTGGTTATTAAACATCTTGGAGGAGATACTCTTAGTCTATGCCATATCTTGCTTTCATGCCCACTAATTTTAGCTTCCTTCAGAAGATCCTACCTGTAACAACTTTTATTGTGCTCTGACAGTGATTTTATATTTCCTTCATTCCTTCTACATTTATTAATTGAATTCTTCTATAAGGAGGTATGTCTCAGTTTTAGTAACATAAAGGAAAAAAATATGATGCATTAATTTACCTGAGATTCCTGCCGTTTTTTAATAGCATGTTTATATAATTTATGTAATTTTCTTGCATCAAACTCCGTAAACTTAGATACAAAAATCCACAGGTTTCTAGAAGAAGAACAGGTAAATTAGTCTGGTGGAAAATATTTAGATTTTTCATGGAACCCCCTAACCTCTAGATAGAAACACACATACTTAGTCTTCTACGGAACAAAGTCTAAGGACATTATTTCTAGTATTTTTAAAACTTTATATGGCTAAGACTCCAATTTTTTTTTTTTTAAGTAATCTCCTCACCCAACACTGAACTCACAACCCTAAGATCAAGAATTGTATGCTCCAATGATGGAGCCAGCCAGGTGCCCCCATATGGATAAGACTCCAAATGAGACTAAATACTAAGTTTTACTTCTCTCCAAAATCCCCTCATTTTATAATCTTTTAGAGTGAAAATAGTAATCCATCCTAATTTGAAACCAAAAAACTGTAAACTTACAAATCAGGAAGGGACTCATATTATGATTTATATTAGTATAAAAGAAACAAGCTATGGTAGTAGTCCGACTAAAGATACCATTAGATAATGTGGATTAAGTTTGTTTAAGAAGGGTCCTAAAGAATGTGTTAAAGAGCAACTGTATGGGAGCCATGAACAGAGAAACTTTAACTCTGGATCTTGAATATAAAAAGAGAATGTGGCTATATTTCCATTTAAGCCTAATATATCTATCTATCTATCTATATATATAAAATTGATCTTCACTGTATCCCTGTTCTATGGTTCTGTAGTTTGAGGGACATGATATGAGTTGAAAGAGCTTGAGATGTATAGAATTCTGTTTTATATTATCTAAAGAAAGCATTAAAACTTCAGTATATGTATTTCAGCTATAAATAAAAGATTAAGCTAGACAATATAGTACTTTAGGATTATTTCCTCTCCTTCCTCTTATCATCTTTTTTTAAAGATTTATTTATTTCAGACAGACAGAGTGAGCAGGGGGAGGGGCAGAGGGAGAGGGCTTCATCCCAGGACCCTGAGATCACAACCTGAGCCAAAATCCATTGTCAGATGCTTAATTAACTGAGCCACCAGGTGCCCCTCCTACTATACCTTATCGTTATCATTCAATTGAAAAATATACAGTCCCTTATATATAGTTTATATAAAGGGTTTTAAGTACAGATGATGTTATTTTGTGGATGATTACTAGTGGGCTCAGAGATATTCTGTAACTGTTCGAAGGTCACAAAGCCAGTAATTAGCCAAGATGGGGACCAAGCATGTCTTCTGATGCCAACTCCAGGAATCATTCCATGGCATTATAAGCACATTAACTTCAGGCTATTATTATTGTCCATGCATGGCTTCAGTGTCTTCAGACATGATAGCTCAGTTTCATTTGTTTTCAAAAGCCTAGTGATCATAATCAACTTCCTGGCTCCTCTCTCTAACATGGGTCATGGTTGATTTTAAGGAGAAAGGGGACAAGGATAGAATCCTTAGTGTAATCATCAGTCCTTCAGAAATATGTCATTATTACAGTTTTTTGCTTTGATGTGTAGCTGCACTGCCTAGAGCAAGGAAATCAGCAGGCTAATCAACTGATATGACTGGCTGTGGTCATTTTGCAGTATTCCTAACTTGTCTAGTAGCTTGACTTAACACCGAGCTCGGTCTGGTAGTCATTAAGTGATTTGCGTAGTATTATAGCAGCTCAGATTTATAATTTTAAGACCAACTGTGTTGCTGCTGCTTCTAAAGCAAAGGGGAAGATAAAAATCTGCATTTTACACTGCCTGAGAATATTAATTTTTACAAGGCTGTATACTTACACCTGGAAGATGAACTGCTAAATTCATGTAACAATAAATTTATTTGTTTGGTACTGCAAATTCTGAAGTTATTACCAAGAAAAATTTGGCAAACTAGAAATTTCTAAAAATAAAATGCAACCAGAATTTTAATGAAACAGTTTTCACTTTTTTTTTTAAGACTGTAATTATTTGAGAGAGAGAAAGAGAGAAAGCACATGTGAGCACAGGCAGGTAGAGAGGCACAGGGAGAGAGACAAGCAGAGTCCCCACTGAGCATGGAGCCCAATGCGGGGCTCAATCCCAGGATTCTTGGATCATGACCTGAGCTGAAGTCAGATGCTTAACCCCCCAGGCACCCCTTCACTATACTGTATTTAAAGGAAGAGGTGCCACCTGTGGTTTATCATGATGTATAATTAAGCAATCATTCACAAATAAAAGCTTTAAAGTTAAAGGAAAAAAATGAAAACAATCACCCTCAGATTACCTCTTTAAACATTATTTTGTTACCTAAACTTCAGAATAAGAAAAATAAATTGAAATATAAGACACAAATAGATGGTTACATAATTACAAATTTAACATTTCCTGAAAAGTACATCACTTACTTTCTCCACTGCTTGATTTGTTCAGGATTTGTATACTCTTTCAGACATTCTGTGATATGGTCTCCAATTTTTATTAAACACTGTCTAGTATGCTCCAGTTGTTCTCTTTCTGAAAGGCCTTTTTCAGGCCTATCAAGTTGTTTCAAAGCTGCTTTGACAGGCCTCATCCTTTCTTTACACTTTAAAATGGGAAAATAAGAACATGTATGGAAAATAAGAACAGGTATTAAAAATAAGAACTCAACAAAGATCTACTTCCTTCAAATGATATCGATATGAGTAAATACAGCACTGTTTGATGCTAAAAAAGCATTAAAGCTTGCCTCACAGCTCTTAAATATCAGGGTTTTTCCTCTCAGATTTTCTTCAGAAAGTAAGGTTTTCCATTATCATTTAAATTCAATCTTTCTGTATGTAAAAGCTTTGGGTTTATTTACCTTCTGTAAAAATGGTTATTTTACACCCTGTAACACATCATTAAGCAGTCTTAAACACAGAATGTTAAAAAATAATATATCTCAGAACACAACTTAGTATCCTAGAATCACTCTAATATAGAGTAAAATGTAAAAAAAAAAAGGATCTTCATAAAATAAAATATGCTGGCAAAGCTATTAAAACCAATATAGCTATAAGTATAAACTGTCTATTCTTCTAAACCTTTGGAAAGTAAGAAAAAGAAAGTAGCTAATGAATTTTGCTCTTATATTTTGGTTGGTCAGGGAATTGGGGATGCTTGATAGGAGCCAACCTTTTCCTTGGCCTACATATCACTGGCATGCCAAAAAAAGGATGATGTATCAAAAACTGTATGATTCAATTAAAGTCCAACATGTGCAATAAACACTATAACCTTAAGCCAAAACTAAATTAAGAATATTACTAAAAAAGCAAACTATACATAAATTTTATTTATGTATCCAAATGCAAAACAAATTTAAAATGAATGGTAATTATATCCTCAAGTAGCAAAGTTGGGTTAGTTCCAGGAATGTTAAGGATGATCAACTACAGACAATATATTTAGCTGATCCAACGCCATTTATTTAAAGAAGAAATCCTATCACCAGTCTTATTAAGTGTCTATATATGTATGGAATCTTTTGAGTATTTTATTCTGTTTTACTGACCTATTTGTCCAAATCACTTGGAAGTTATCCATCTTCTGTCAGGAATAATTTAAGTAATATTAGAATTACATGCTTTTTAGTTATTAGAACTCAGCCAGGCCTGATGTCTTTTTTTAAAAAGGGAAAATCTTTTCCTTTCTAATTTTTAGCAGTACTCTTATCTGTTCTCTACATTTCCTGCTTCTTGCTTGATTTTGGTAGTTTCTATTCTGCTAGAAAATGATTCATAAAATGTATATAATTTGAGTGCATACCATGTTCTCAGCATTGTCTCAGACCCAGGAAAGAGCAGTAAATACAAGAGATTTGCCTTTGCGGAACCTGTACTCTACTAGGAGAAAAGAGCCAATAAACAAACAAGATGCAGAGTGTTGGATGGTGAAAACTGTGATAAAGAAAAATAAAGCAAGAAAAAGGAGAGACATTCCTCCTTCACATAAGACTTCAGAGAAGAGTGATGTTTGAGCATTATCTACAGAAAATGAGGGAGTAAGCCACTTTTGAGCAGAGGGACGAACAAGTACCTATGTTCTAAAACTTGTATATTCAAAGGCATAGTATAAATGCCAGTGTGGCTGGAACCTACTGAGTGAGGGAGGTAGCAAGAGATGAAGTAATAAACCAGGTGCAGTATCTTTTAGCCTATTATCATGAATCTTTCATCCTGAGCGAGGGAAAGCCACTCAAGGATTTGAAGCGAAAAAATTAGAGGGGGTGACTTGACCCTCTCTGTAACAGTCATTATCACTCTGGTTGCTGTGTGGAGTATGCACTAAGGAACGAAAAGGGTATAAGCACAAGAAGAGTGGGGAGCAGTGAAAAACAGCTATGAAGCTATTGAAATAATCGAGGGCAGAGATGGCTGTAGCTTCAAGTAGTATGGGAGTGCCAATATGATTTGCTCAATGACTGATAGCGGTAAAGAAAAAAAGAGGAATTCATGACTAAAATCTATGTTAAGGCCAAGGCCTGAAGTTGGGAATTGGAGCAATGATAACAAATATTTATAAAGCACTTATTAGGTATCAGAAGCTATGTGTTGTGCAAAGGCACCTCATTTGATTCGGGTAGTAGATCTATGCAACACTATTTTATCGAAGAGACTGAAGCTTAGAGTGAAATGACATCTGTCAAACCCAGGTCTGATCTCAAAGGTTGTACTCTTTCTTAACTGTTAAATTATAAAATGAAATTTAGGAGACAAATCAATAAGACACAAAATCAAGAGGTGTCAAATTAGGCAAAGATGTGAAGGAAGGAAAATGAAGACCAAGAAAAGGCCACCGAGTTTAACAGTCAGAGCTAGTCCCAAATAAAATTTATATAGCAGTAAAATCCTAATCATGCAAGCTCAGAAAGTCTGGCTCCAGAGTCCATGTTTAAAACTATTCCATTCTTCATTTCCATAATACAAGTGATTTTAAGATCTATCATGAAAGTTAATGGAGAAGAAACTCGTGCACTGGGTACAACAGGAAGTTTTCCATTTCAGCAGTTATATGAACAAGGCAGAAGACTAAGGAGGAAATGTAGGTAAAGAAAGGTGGCAAGAGGTACAATTTCACCTCTCAGTAATGAACAGAGTAAGGGAAGCAGTTCAAAAGAGTTCAGTCTTCACTTCAGAAAAGCAAAAGCACACCACCACCTCCTTATTCCCACCCAATAGAGAGGCTTTAAAAAAAAAAAAAATCAACAGAAAATGGATAGAGAGGCTAGATTAAGAACCAGGTCACAAACAGAAAGGTTAACCTTAAAAAGATGCTAAGGAATCAGCATGTAAACCTGAAGAGATAAAGGTGAAAGTCCAGAGATATGTTCAAGTAAGATGGAAGACAGGAACAAGAGTAGCTTATTCTGACTGTCCCCAGCATTCTTAGGGATTGGAGGGATGTAAACAGCCAAAGTGAGGAGGAGAGTAAAACTGTGTTAAGGAACTACTACACTTAAAGAGCATGAAAAATATTTGAAGCTGTATTAGGGCATGCCAAAGAATTAGCAGGAATGAATAAATGGGTTCACTGATCAACATTCTCTAGTTAGGGTACAGAGTAGAAGAAAATGAGACAAGCAGGTAACCTGGGCATCTAGAATGGTGTAAGAGGTAAAACAAAAACATGATTTTAGAAGTGAAAATTTCCATCTTTCAAGTATAGCATTTGATTAATATTAGCAATAAAACTGACTTAAGATTACACCCAAACAGCAAAAAGATGCAGATTCTAGAGATCCTAAAGAGGAAATATTCTTTTTTTTTTTTTTTTAAAGATTTTATCTTTTTAGAGAGAGAGAGCATGCATACTCGCATGTGTAAGAGGGATCATGACCTGAGCCAAATCAAGAGTCGGAAGTTTAACCAACTGAGCCACTCAGGCGCCCCAAAGAGGAAATATCTTATATGAATATATATTTACATATATTTGTGCACACTGTAACTATATATAAATAAGATACATTTATATCAGACTATAAATTTTCCCTTTAGGTGCTACCAATAATAACGTATCTCTTACTGAAGGATAATTTGTACCTGTCTCATATCATTCAGTCTTTTTTCTCTAGTAACATTACTACTCCTTCCTGATTTTGCTCTGTGTCTGGATTTTTTAGTCCTTTATCAATCGATCTGCTGGCATGTCTATATTCAATAAGAACATCCACCCCAACCACTACCAATTTTTTGCGCAAAGCACTAGCTGAAAACTTTCCATGTATCAACTCTTCTGGTCATCATACTGACTTTCCTAACAGCAGCACTCTGGCTCCAGAGCCAGTACATTCAATTGCTACACATAACTGCTTTCCCACACTGCAACCTCACTATAAAGTTTTTCTCAAAATATTTATCACAATTAATTTCAGTTGAGACTATTTTGGGTTCCTGATTATATCCAGTAAATAACTCATTTGGAAAGAAGCCAAGATAGATCCTCTCTGACTTTGATGAACATAAAAGCATGACAGCATGTAAGACCAGTGTTACTTAAAGTGGCCTATGAACCTGTACTAGTCCACAAGGGGGAATAGGTACAGAAATTTTAGAAACTTTTGTATCAGTTTGACAGTGCAATTTTATGTCTACTGAATCTAGTAACATAACGGGGCTTACATTTTGCATTTTTTTCCTTATTTTCACTTTTCTAATGAAATATTTTCACTATTTGTTTTTATTGTACTTTCTAAGAATACTGGTCTATAAAAGATTGGGGAAAAAAGCTAGTTCTTCACTGTAGATAAGAAGCGATGTTACAAAGATAAAAGGTTCAGGAACAGAGTAGTTTACAATTCTAAAGCTGAAGGGAAAGAAGTTTGCTCCAAGTATTCCCTAAATGACTCTCCTTAAAGTCTTTAATTTATTAAAAAGTTTTTCCAAGTTAATTCTAAATTTAAGATAACTTACAAAATTTAAATTTATTGCCTTTATCAATCTGAACCGCAGTACTACCCAATTCAAATACACTTCTAAATTAAAAAGCTCCAAAAGATAAAACTTCCAATTAACATAAAATATTATATGAATTCTTACTAATAACCAGCAAGTCTACTACTTACAATGCTGAATGTCTTCTGATCTAGCTCTTCAGATTCTTCAGATATGGGAACTGGTTCACCACTTGCGGTGATATGAACTGGAGCATCTGACACTGAAGATTTCTTGGATCTTTCCTTGCTATCAGACTTGGATTCGCTCAACTAAAGAAAAAGAGAAAATAAAAACAAAAATCCAACAAAAACAAAGGTGAAATGATTAAAACTTCCAGAAAACAATATCTCACTTTATTCTACAATAGTTTGCTCACATTCCATACTCTATTTTATCTTTCTGGGAAACCAAAAATAAATCTACTCTGTAATGTTACCCTATACGTAAAGCATTCAAAAAAAAAAGATTCAAACCTATTTTTCTCCTCTTCTAGATACCCACATGTATTTTTAAAGAACTCAGTTATTCAGGCTAATTTGGGCTGACAGGCAATTTATTTTCCTAAAATGTAAATATGCTGATTGTGTCACTTTCTAAGTTTTACATTACGATTTGCATACCTTTTCTTCCTTTATGTCTTTTTCTTTCTGTATAGCTTCTTTTACTTTGTTTTCTCTTTTCTCTTTAAAATCTTTTTCCTTTATATCTTTCTTATCCTCTTTTTCTTTTATCTCCCTCTTAAGTTCTCTTTTATTCTCTTTTTCTTTTGCTTCCCTCTTTTCTTCTGATTCCTTCTTTATAAAAACATCTGGCTCAGGTCTTTCTTCACTGTCTCTTTCTGTTTTAATTTTTTTATTTGGATGTTTCACAGAAGTGATCTCATCCTGAAAAGTGCAAGTATGGCCAATGTATTACTAACCAAATCTTGACAAAGACTAATTTCTTTTCTTTGCATGACTACGGAATGCATGTATGTGGATTCAGAAAGAAATAACCCAGAATCCCATTAATAATGATACATGCAATGTTCACCTTCCTATAAAAACTAAAGGAAGCCAGTCCCATTCAAAATTCAAAATAAAATTAATGGAAACAGAACCTCATTTAAATGGCAAATGTTTGAAAAGGAAGGACCTTTGCTCTATATCCCTCTTAGTGATATTCATTAGATGAGTAAAATTATGTTCCATACGTGAGACTATGTAATGAACTACAAAAAAGGAACTTCAAGTACCTAAAAGTAAAATTTCAGGTCTTAGTTCAAATTTTAAATGTCAAGTATACTAAAACATGCTATGTCCCTTTCTAATACAAAGTCTGTTTTTCTAAAACACATTCTTACCTTATCATCATCTTCATCGGATTTCTCTGAAGGCAGGGGCGAAGAATCACTCTTTATTTCTTCTTTCACTTTTATAGACTTCATTGCTTTATTCTTCTTAGCTCTTGCTTTTCTCCTCTTTGATCCTCCCTAAAAATAATTATTTTTATTCTAACCAACTCCACAGATTCAGTCAAAAAAAAATTTCTTAAATACTAAATCTAAAAAGCTAAAAGAACACATATTCCTACCCAATCCTTACTCTAACAGTACGCTACACCGATCTTAGAAAGTCAACAAGGGGCGCCTGGGTGGCTCAGTGGTTAAGCGTCTGCCTTCAGCTCAGGTCATGATCCCAGGGTCCTGGGATCGAGCCCTGCGTCGGGCTCCCTGCTCAGCGGGAAGCCTGCTTCTCCCTCTCCCACTCCCCCTGCTTGTGTTCCCTCTCTCGCTGTGTCTCTCTCTGTCAAATAAATAAATAAAATCTTTAAAAAAAAAAAAAAAAAAGTCAACAAAAGTGATATAACTTAATGAATCAAGTACGTATTATGAATAACAGATACTAACTATAACTATTCTTTTCAAAAAGGATTAGAGAAAAGTGGAGGTTGAAAGAAACAGAAAGTTTTTCACCTTCCTAAATTACTATTATCTGAACTAAATTTGATCCTATCAGAGATAGCATTAGAAATATTTTTATTGGTACACAGTTACTGACATTGTGGTTATAATGCAAATGGTTAAAGGCTGTTAGTTTCTAATCATCTCTTCTTCATTGTATTTTTCCTACTTTTTTGGCCCCTCCCTAATAAATAAGCTCAGTGATCTTTATGCTGTACCTTCAGCTCTCCAACACCAAATAAAACGGTAATAAAGGCTTGACCCCTTAAAAAGTATACCACTCTAAACAAGGTGCCCCCAGTACCTATCCAAACACTAGGGAAAAAAAAAAAACAGGATCCCACTTCTGAAAGATAGGACTTACCAGTTTTAACAGGAATGCAGAGATAACTTAAGGCAAAATATCACAATATGCAATTAAAGTTACCAAATTACAGAAAAATACACTTATAAGGTCATATTAGCCTCAGATGTCTAGGGCTATCAGTAAACTAAATTTATCTTACTGAAAAGTAAATTGCTCTTTAAGCATCTAAATTTTAACTTACTGCACCAGAAAGTCTCTGAGCTTCTTTTTTTGCAAGATCTCTACTAAGTAATTTGATGAGGTAGTCTGCACGTGTCTGCAACTGCTTTGCTTGTGGTTTTTTATCAGGATCATCAGGAAGAATCTGAAAAATTAATTTTTTCAGGTTGTCTTTAATAAATAATATGAGAAATTTATTGCCTATAAAAGGCTTACTCATTTAAAGAAATACATATAATTTACTGGCAAGTTACAATTGTTAAAATTTGTAGGAATAAACAACTAAGAATGCAAAATACATTTTTTTATACTACACCACAGCAAAGATTTCATTTGCCTGGGAATAAGTTCTAAATAAATACATGAAAAAAAAATCCTTCCATTCAAAATAATAATACAAAGTGTGAGGTTAAAAATTTCTTTCAAATATACAAGTGTATTTAGCATCCAGTGTTATTAAACATTACAGTATGTTTAGATTTCTTTCCTCTCTCAATAACAGTATATATAAAGTATATAAAAATTCCTTAGGTACAATGTATCAGCTATTTAGGTGACCCAAAGCATGCACTCTGAAGAAATTTTTACAGTAGGAATTTAAGCTATTCAAGTTTGGCTTCAGAGGTAGCAAATGACACAACACCAATATCAAAAGTGACTATGAAGAAGTAAAATATAAAAAGATAACTTAAATGATAATAAGGCAATGTTTCCAGTGTTTTCCAGTCTAGGCAAAGAAATGATTTTAGCGGGCGCCTGGGTGGCTCAGTTGGTTAAGCGACTGCCTTCGGCTCAGGTCATGATCCTGGAGTCCCGGGATCGAGTCCCGCATCGGGCTCCCTGCTCAGCGGGGAGTCTGCTTCTCCCTCTGACCCTCCTCCCTCTCATGCTCTCTGTCTCTCATTCTCTCTGTCTCAAATAAATAAATAAAATCTTTAAAAAAAAAAAAAAAAGAAATGATTTTAGCTGTGGTAGTATCAAATCACTAAAACCCCTAAACATTGTTTGATAATAAAAAAAAAATTTATTTTGCTCTTGAATAATATGACAGAATGAGAATTTTACTTTAAGCCTAGTAATAGAAAGAAAAATACATCTATGCCTTAATAATAAAAATACAATTTCAGAGGTAAAGCAAAATTTCAGAGATCATTTAAATTCAACCCCTCATGAAAACCAAGAAGCCAAGGTCATACAGCTAGTTAGAGCCTTGGTTTCCTATCAATCAAGTTTATTTCTTTTTTTTTTTTAATCAAGTTTATTTCTAACATAATTTAAATTTTTTTTTTAAAAGATTTTATTTATTTATTTGAGAGAGAGCAAGCACATGAGAGGGGGGAGAATCAGAGGGAGAAGCAGACTCCCCGCCGAGCAGGGAGCCAGATGCGGGACTCAATCCCGGGACTCCAGGATCATGACCTGAGCTGAAGGCAGTTGCTCAACCAACTGAGCCACCCAGGCGCCCCTATTTCTAACATAATTTAAAAAGCAAAAATCTAATTCAACATCAGTAGTCAACGGAAACAAGAAATATTTAAGTACCTTGTGTGTTAAACTGAGGTCAGGATCCATTTTAATCATTTCCCAGCTTCCATATCCGTATTCGTAGATACCAATTAACAAATTGGAATCATCTTCTTTGCCCCAGTCTATATCAAAATGAGCTGCCTTTGTGTGGCATGGGATAGTATACCTGTATCAAAGTTAATAACCATGGTCAAGTTTTTAACTGCCATATTAAAAATTAATTTTGAAGAATATATTTAAGTTATTGGAACTTCAAAATACTATGCCTTATTTTATTTTTAAAAACATTTCATTCAAACTAGCCAATGACATAAGACATTTTTATAACATACATACCCAAATTATTGAATAACAAGAAATAATTTACAATGAATAAAGTGAACAACTCACTGTTTTCTTTCTTCGGGATCTGACGGAATGGATTTGTGCAATGGTATTAATTCTTCTTCATGGGAGATGACAAGCTTGGCATTCACCTGTACACCTGATATTCGGAATGTTGGACCCTTCACTTTTCCAAGTCTACCACCTTAATTTTTTTCAAGACATAAAAAAATATGAAATATACAATTCTACAAAATACAAAGCAAGATATACTAATATTTACATTAATAAGCATCACTTATTTAGCTATATTTATAAGTATTACTTCTTTCTATTATTGGGGGGTGGCACTTGCTGGCAAACCTTAAATTTCACTACAAGATTTTTCAGTACATACTACAGAAATTATAATATAGCAGATGTGGATTCAAAGAAAGCATTTCATTGAAAGCATTTCCATAATTGTTTTCTCAATTGCACAAGATACATCTATTAATACTGTCACCTTCTAAATAAGTGGCCTAGTATAATTTTTTTCAGTATACCTTATTACTAAATCTTAACTAAATATTTTCATTTAGGTAAATTACAAAATAAGCATAATGAGGTAACTATGCCCAAAGCCAATATCACATATGTACACTATCTTTTCCCAGCCATCTATACTAAAAATACAGTAACTTCTGATATTACCAACTAGCTCGAATATACCAGTTAGACATACACTATTGATTTCAAGAATACAATTCTGTTACCCATTTCCTATTACCCAGGAATGGTCCTGCTTTGTTTTCTAAAGCGTCTTTTAAGAGTAATGAATAGGTGGCTATGATATAACAACCTCTTAACTCAGTAAAAGCATTATGTGAAACTTTCATTTACCTCTCTTTAAATCACTCTCACTTAAATATTACCTGTTCGTTCTGTTCCTGAAGAATTATCCTTTAAAGCTTTAATGCAACCATTATGCACCAATTCTCCTAGTCGTCTGAGGTCTGTCTCTGACTTATCAACTAATTCAGCATCCCGAGCAATTGCATCTAATCTGTTAATGAAATAATACAATTTTCAGGTAAATATGCAGAATAAAGTGGTGCCATTTAAGAGAGAGTCAGTTTCACCCTGCCTCAAGCTCTACAAGTCACTCTACATGCCCTACGAAGTCTAGTTCACATAACTGGCACAAGATACATAAAAAAGGAGTTCAAAAAATGTTTAAAAAATTTGGCAGGGAAACAATTCATTTATATATTCAAGAATAATAAAGTTAACCAATTAATTCATTATAGAAAAAAATGGTATGCTTCCAACTTGAAAATTATGTAATAATTCTATAAAAGCTTTTCATAACCAATCAAATCTTAAATTCTAAAGCATTGTAATATAGATGACCCTTGAATAACACAGACTTGACCTGGACAGGTCGAGTTACATGCGGATTTTTTTTTTTCGATAAATACAGTATAGTAACTCTAAATATTCAAAATAAAACAGAAAGTATCTTTAAGAGGGAGTTTTGGAGAGAAAAAATAGAACTGAGCCAATCTGAGTCTTTGCCACTGTATATTCAGACATTGGGCTTGCCACAACAAAGGACAAAGAATATTCAAATCACCAACACGTACTGAAATTAACCATTAACTTAAAACACACACACACACACACACACAAACTGTCCTGATATTCTGAATTTTAATAGTTCATATAAAAAGGAACCATAATTAGGGAAACTTAAGAAAATTTCCCTAGTAAGGGAAAACAGAACTGTTCTTTAAGTCAAAAGACTAAGCTAGCAACTCACCTTCTCTAAAGGATAAATCTGCTATTTATAAGTTTGGGATGAAAAAGATGGGATAAAGGCATGTGAAAAGTACAATTACAAAATGCTGAGTATTTCACAGACATATGTATTTTATAGAAACCTTCATTTGTAGATAAAATTTTAGAGCCTAGAAAGAATTAAGAATATGAGAACCTTTTAAAAAATCTGAAATTTGCTTTCTACGGACTAACGTTGTAAATGATTTTTAAAGCAAATTTAACAAAGTAGCTAAACCCAATAGTAGTGTGTATAAAGTTGACAGCATGTAAACACACATTCTGTAATTCTATGAGAATGACAAACGTATTTACCTTTCCAGAGGGCCACCAAATTTCTTGTAACTCTTGATAAACCTAACAGAAAATAATTGCTTGGTTAAAGTGTGGGTTTCACTATCCATTAAAAAACAGATTTATAAATACGTGGAAATAAGAAAACAGCTGTTAGTGCAAAAATTAATTCAAGGCACTGTTACCATACTAACACAAATGAATAAACTATGCTAAAGACAAAAATGTTAAAACATTAAGATATACCAAGCAAGACATATTTTAACACCCAGGATGATGTTTAGAAACCAATATAAATAAAACAATAGAAGCTAAATTTTATTTTAGAAATTACTTTATTATTTTCACAAGACAAGTTCAAGGCTACCACAGGAAGTGTGTCCAGAATTATCAATCATACTACACCTCCTCACATTTGAAGTATTGATAAAAGTTTACTGAATAATAGCTTTATTTCAGATGTATGGTATAATACCAACAATGGAAAATAAAAATTTTACTTAAGAACAAAGCTACCCAAGTGGTTGATGGATGAGGGAAAATATCCAGGAAAAGTAGAAGTTGAAATGTTCTTCAACTAAAGACAGAAAGTCCAGCAAATCAGGTGGTCATAAAAATACCCTTAATAAAATCTAACAATATATTTAGTTTTCTGGTAGAAAGAATGAGGAAGAACTTTATTGGTCAGGTCTATGATTAAAAGAAAAGAGTTACTACAATGGCTTGAAAGAAACAACAAACTCAAAATATAACAGTGAGCAAACCTTTTTACAAATTTCATAAGCAAAAATATTACATAAACAAAAGTAGGCTGTTATCCCAGTCCCCTTATATGAATGTATATAAAGAAACATATTTTGAAAGAAAACTGTAATTTATCCTACGTGACTATCTTACCTCAATTCCTACTTGGACATATCAGAAATGCTTTTAACATTGTTACTTTCAAAAAGCAAATCTCCTCAGTGTTAAAAAAAAAAAAAAAAAACTAGAAAAATTTGGAACTACAGTATTCCCACATAAAAATAGTAATGTTGGGAGTCATAAATGCAGGGAGAAATTTTAATAAATAAGTCTAATGTACTAAAATATACATTCATTTTTAAAAGGGCCACTATTCTGAACCACATTTTTAATAAAGCCAAAAAAATTTAGCAGTCTAAGTAGATTAACAATAAATAAATAACATGCAGAGATTAGATACCAAACTTTATTTTTCATACTATAAATGAAGACCCAAAAGCAGAACCATTCAATCCCTACACAATTATCATATATTTGCCTTCTCTAAAACTTTCATTTTAATCTTTGAAAATTATGGGATTTGTCTATTTTAATTTCACCTTCTAATAAAAGGAAGCTGAAGTAAAATAGCCTTATGTCATCTTACCGCCGAATTTCTGCATCACTAAATCCTTTGATATTCTCTCGAGGAATAGTCCGTGGTCTTCCACGTTTCTTTGGCCTTTTCCTTTCTGAGATCGAGTCACTATCAGATCCAGAGTATCTCCTACTTCTACTGCGCCTCCCTTCACTTCCATTAAAACTAATCTGGAATTGGAAAACAAAAATTTATCAAACTTTAGACTAAAGAAGGCTTCTAACTATAAGAGCAAAGAAAACATTAAGAAAGAAAAGACTGAGAGAATTAACAAATTGAAATCTTGTCTGTATATCAAAAAATTTTCTATAAATAAGATTAAAAAGCAAACAAAACAGAGAAAAACATGGCAGGTTAATGACAAAGAGTTATTAAAGGCCCTAACATTTTTAAAAACATTCTTATATATCAGAAATAAAATACAAATTTTTTTTTTTAAGATTTATTTAGAGAGAGAGAGAGAGAGAGAATGCACACGTGTGAGGAGGAGAGGGAGAGAGAGAGAAAGATAATCTCCAGCAGATTCCCCGCTGAGCATGGGGACCAATGCTGGATCTCACAACCCCTGAGATCATGACCTGAGCAGAAACCAAGAGTCACACGCTTAACCGACTGAGCCACCCAGGCGCCCCCAAAATTGTCCTTTTGTAAGAATGAGAAAAATTATTAACAAGCAACTAATCAAATACCATAAACATAGAATTAAACAACATCAATGGTAAATTTTTTTAAATGAGAATTAAAGCAACAATATTTATTTGTAACACTCATTATTTAACAGAAACATCAAAACATATTTTCTGTAAGTCTCTGGAAGTCACCGTGCATTTTCTGAACCCCTAATATGTTGAAAGCTAACTGAAAGTCAAAGACAGTATTCAGTTCTTACTCATTCTAACCTCCTCTCATCCTTTCAAAAGTAGTAATATAATGCTGTGCTTCCGTGTACTATAAAGGGAAATCATTATGGGGTTGGCAGGAATAAACACTAACAAGAAACTACATACATGGTCACTTTCAGACCACACACATCACTTGGCTCCATTTCTGCCTATTGATAGGATGCCCCAATCCTAACAACAAATCTCATCTACAAAATCCTAACTTCTCTTACACATGTCAAAATCACAAGGCAATCTAATGGTCTAAAATATAAGAAAATACAGCAGACTCGTAAGAAAAGATGGAACCTGAATTCTGGCTCACCTGTGAAAAGCATGAGTTGTGGTCATCAAATAACATAAAAGCAGGCAAAAGGAAGTTAGCTAAAATTTACTAAAGGCTTTGTTTGGGTGACTATGAGAGTCCTGGAAACGAAAGGCATGGAGAACAGAACCTGCACCCCCTCTCAGATATTCCTCCGCAAAACTCCCAATAGGTGCTCATGAGTAAGACTGGGCAGGAGATCAGAAAAAACTTTCCTTCCAGATGATGGCCTGGAGAAAGGGAGCAGTTTTCTACTGCACTGAGGGCACCTCACCGAAGAAGACAGAAGACACAATACTGTTGCAGGAAAAGAAAAATAAAACACTCTACCCCTGAGGGAAGGATAGCAAGAAGGATGACTAAGCAATTCCCTCATTTGCCTCAGACTCAAAATTTAAGGAGGCACCAAAAAAGCTCAGAAATATAATGTAATATTCTAAAAAACAGAAGTTAATTCAAACAAAAAATCTAGTATTAAAGTTTCTTTCCTTTTGTTGCAGTATCTGATGTAGCCTGGCATGGCCCTCTTACCATTATTTAAAAATCTCCTATTTTCTTCATTTGGGTCATAAAATAAACAGCAATAAGTTTTTAAAAATTCCTATCATACAAGGTATGCTGATGATGACAGAATTAAAATAGAAATCAACTAACAAAAATAATCAGAGTATCTCCCAAATATTTGGAAATTAAACACACTTCATAACAACAAAAAAGAACAAAAACAAACCAACAAAAAAATACCTACAGGTCAAAGAGTATGTCCATAAGGCAAATTAGAAAATACTCTGAAATGAATGAAAATGAAAACACAACAGGTATCAAAATTTACAAGATTCAAAAAAGGCAGTGCTTAGAGGGAAACTTGTAGCATTAAATGCTAATAATATTATAAAAAGAAGGTCTTGATTAAATTGTCTTAAGAATACATCTTAAGAACACTTAAAAAAAAGTAGAGCAAATTAAAGCAAAGCCAAAAAGTAATAAAGAGCAGAAATCAATGAATCTGAAACAGAAAAATAAATGAAACCAGGGATGATTTGGGGGGGATTTTATGAATAACTTTATGCCCATAAATTCAACAACTTAGATAAAATGGACAAATTCCTTGAAAGAAACAAACTACCAAGCTCACTCAAGAAAGAAATATTCTGAATAGTTCTATATTTATAAAAGAAATCAGTGTTTCTAACAAAGAAAACTCCAAGCCTAGATGGTTTCCCTGACAAATAGTGCCAAACATTTAATGAAGAATACCAATTCTATACAAACTCTTCATAAAAGCAGAGGAGGGGTGAACACTTTCCAACTTATTTTATGAGGCAAGAATTATTAAATCAGTTGAAAACACTAAAAAAGAAAACAATGGACCAGTATGCTTTATAAACAAAACCAGATAGTCCAGGTATAAATACCCTTACAATAATAATCTTTTAAATTAAAAAGTCACCTGTTTTGCACAGTTTCTCATTCTTGGGAGCATATAAATTTCTTCAAGTTCCTTTTGTCTTTCTTCCTCTTCTAATCGTCTTCTTTGATCTTCTGGAATTATTTCTTCCCAATTCTTTGAATTTCTTTCTGGTTCCAACTCAATGTCATCCTCATCCATATTTGAAAAGTTGGCAACCTTAAATTCAAGAATTATAACAGAATAAGCATTAAAGAAAAACTCATCCTTAAATTACATTTTGCATTTTAGGGGAGAGGATGTGACATACCAGAATACGGCAATAAAACTTAAATATCCTCAGGATAATGAATAGGACTATGGATTAAACCAAAAATGACGGCTAAACTATCTAAGTTCTTTATTAGTTCTTTATTATTTATTATTTTTTTATTAGGTCAAAGTAGAATAAACCAAAAAACTTCTAAGAATGATTCTCTTTTGTCCTGCTGCTCAACAAAATTAGTTGACAGACCAACAAAATAATTTATACTAACATGCTAAATCATCTTCCGCTGAAAATACCACACCAGTCCGTTAACTACAAAGTGCTGTAGAATAAACCAGTATTCTTATTTTTATAATCATAAAAAGTAACACAAAAGCGGGCGCCTGGGTGGCTCAGTTGGTTAAGCGACTGCCTTCGGCTCAGGTCATGATCCTGGAGTCCCGGGATCGAGTCCCGCATCGGGCTCCCTGCTCGGCGGGGAGTCTGCTTCTCCCTCTGACCCTCCTCCCTCTCGTGCTCTCTGTCTCTCATTCTCTCTCTCACAAATAAATAAAATCTTAAAAAAAAAAAAAAAAAAAGTAACACAAAAGCTACTGACAAGACACAAAGAACTCTGGGTCCATAGATAACCTGAGGTTCCTAGTTTCTTCATCTTAAAAAAAAGGGATAGACTGAGCTCACTAAATTTTGTGAAGATTAAATAAGATAATACATTTAAGGAACTATGAAGACTCTGGTACATGGGAGGGATTCGTTAAACCTAACTGCCAATAGTGGCACATTAAAACTTAGAGAAAGTGGGTGAAAAAAACCTGTGCTTATCCTGTGTTAAGAAATGACACTGCAAATAGTGTTCATTCTCTCATGTCTTTATTTATTTTAAAGATTTATTTATTTGAGAGAGAGAGAATGCACATGTGCATGCATGGAGGGGGCAGAGGGAAAGAATCTTCAAGCAGACTCCCCGCTCAGTGTGGAGGCCTACATGGGGCTCGATCCCAGGACCCATGAAATCATGACCTAAATGGAAACCAAGATCAGATGCTTAACTGACTGAGCCACCCAGACACCCTGTGTCTATTATTTAACTGTGATGAAAGCCCAAAGCTAGCAGTTTAGGAGAATTAACTCACTGTTATAAAAGTAATCTGTATTTACTTTACTTAGCTTATCAGTGACATTTTTTCAAACTGCCAATTAGTCAAATTAAAAGCAAATAGTGTAACCATGTAGAGTTAATCAGACAATACCCAGATTAAGTACAGGTTCCAGAAACCTTAACTTCTCAAGATTAAAGAAATAGTCCTCTAACCTATCTCCCTTCCTTTATTTCTTGCTCCATTACGGTATATCCTCCACATTGCAGCCAGAATGATTCATTAAAATTACAAACATTTTTATTCACTGTTGTGTCCCTGTGCATGGCACACTACAGGTGCTCAATAAATATTTGTTGAATGAACAAATGACACAAACTGAACTGCTCTCCTTAAAACCCTCAGTTCATGAAAATGGCTATAGAGGAACCTGCTTCTTTACACTAAACAACTGGCATACAACTTACTCTGTGAGGATGGCTGACTTACATTGCTTTAGGACTCCTTGCAACCTTTTACCCCTCACCAAACCAGGGGTATTTACAGGTACTAAAAGGAGCTCATTGCTTACATGGACTGAATAACTTGAGTTTTCTTAGGTGTGATAATGCTTAACTTAATGTCAAAAACTGCTCCAACATATAGAAGGCTAAAGCCTTTTGTCATACAAATCTCCATTAGAGATCATGTTCACTCATTTACCCAAATATTTGAGGATGTGCTAAGCACTTTTTTAGATGCTAATTAGAATAACAGCCCTCCTCATTCCACTGTATGTACCTATTCATAAATGGTCCTTTTCAAAACAAGTTGCTACTGGTTTGTCAGAATGAGAGAGAAAAACTTTCATACACCATAGCAAATTTTAAGCCAAAAATACTGAGAAATTATCATGTTGATTGTGCTTAAAGAGATTAATAAAATGCAAAATGACAAAAAATAATTTGTCAATTTAGATAATTTGAAAGAAAAATTAAAAAGAAAAATCTACCTTGAACTGGGAAAGCAATTCATCTCCTACAGTTAAAGGGCCTGGTTCGTTTTCATGAGTTTCAGCCCTCTTCAAGATCTCATCTATATCCATTTCCTATAATTAGAAAGAAATCTTTAAGTATAGTTTAACATATTTTGAAGTAGATACACCTTACACTTACAAGTTTAAAGAAATGGCACATTTTGAGGCAAGTTTTTTTTTTTTTTTTTTTTACCTGGGGCTCTTGTTCTTCTCCTTCAGGTTCCTTAAAAAGCTCCTCAGCGCCAAACTTTAAAATGGCTGATAATTCTTCTTTATTGAAAGGAGTAGAACTAAATCAAGAAAAACAAATAAAAATGCTTAATACTAACAGTTAACAATATTTACATTGCACTTTTATTCATTATTGACACAGTCAACTTTATATAATTTATATGACAGAGTTAGACATGTTAAGTATTATAAGTGTACTTATTTTAAAAGTTAAGAACTTGAAACCTAGAAGTTAAAGGAATTTCTCCCAAGATTTATAAAACTTGAGTGGTAAAATCAGGACTAAATGTATGCTTTTGACTAAAAATTAATCCAGTGCTTTAAAAAATTACAATACTAAATATGGTACCTCCAAGTTCTGCTTATAGCATGTAAGATTTCAGGAAAATGAGTGCAGAATGATTCTAAATGACTTTTTTTTTTTTTAAATATTAAAGTAACTACCAGGGCGCCTGGATGGCTCAGTTGGTTAAGCATCTGCCTCTGGCTGAGGTCATGATCTCAGGGTTCTGGGATAGAACCCCGTGTCATCGGGCTCTCTGCTCAGAGGGAAGTCTGCTTCTTTCTCTCCCTCTCTTCTTCTCTCCCCTGCCCCCGGCTCATGTTCTCTCTCTCACATGAAAAAATCTTAAAAAAAAAAAAAAAATTAACTACCTTGAGGGGGCAGAACCTGTATGTAGTACTGTCTTCCCAGTTGTGTCCATTCTCTGAATCACAAGGTGATCCAAAACCATCTTCTTTTTCGCCCTTTCAAGTATATCCTCTTCAACTGATCCCTTTGTAACTAGACGATAAATATTCACCTGTAAAGATATGCATAATGAAACATAAAATGTAGTAAAAAGGATTCATTTTGCTCATCTGAAATACCCAAAGGTCGGCAGTTCTATATCAAACAGTACCACCATATAGGGATATTTTGAAAATTTATGGGAACATTTTTATAGTTTTTGAAATCATTAGGTGGGTTTACCAATACTTAAGAGCAAAGGGACCTGGGATACCAGACATTCTGCATTAAACTGGACATTCAGGTACAAAGAAAAAGTATCCTCAGTCTTTCAAGTCTTACAAATGATTTTTAAAAACCTTTTTAAATTATTTTGAGTCTAAATTTGAACTCCATTTTAAGGTAAACATGAAGAGTTTTAATGAAGTTATAAAACATATACTAGTTTTTTCAGCATTGTAACTATTGCATAAATCAGTAGATAATTGGATACCCTTTTATTTAAATCTCTGTCAAAGTTATTTCCAAATGTGTATAGTATTAGTGTCACCAATTAAACTCATCTGTACTACTCATCTATACTCATTTTGTAGTTGTTGCATGTAAATATTTAATAAGAGATATGAAATACCTTGTGTCAGATTTAGAACCAAATACTAGTAAAGCCACAGGTATGTGCATGATTTCACACATATGTGGAATACTAAACAAATGATCATAGGGGAAAAAGAGAAGCAAACCAAGAAACAGACTCCTAACAACAGAGAACAAATTGATGGTTACCCTGGGGAAGGGGAGGTGGTTTAAAAGGTGATGAGGATTAAGGAGGACACCTATTGTGATGAGTACCAAGTGTTGTATGGAAGAGTTGAAGCACTATAATGTACACCCGGAACTAATATTACACTGTATGTTAACTAGAATTTAAATAAAAACTTAAAAAACAAAAAACAGCCAAGTACATGAGGCATAGGAATCTTAATACACCAATAATGAAATAATAAAGAATATATCTCAATAATCATTAATAAAAATATGTATTCATATTTATATATTTTAAATGTATTAAATGATAATGTATTAAATAACTTTTATTTTAAAATATAGTCATATTTATGTCACATTTTTTAAGTTTTGTAACAAAATAGTAAGAAATCTGTTACCATTATTTTACGATCTTACTCAAATATTCTTCCTAGAGGTCTACCATGCAACTTTCTATAGTATTTTATATAACTGGTTCTTCTAATGTATCCTCTACTTTCTATCACCTATTAGAAAATGGGGTGGCCCTTAAGAAGTATTTAAGTAGTATAAATGGAATATGAGCCCAGCCATGTATTGAGGATTTCAATATAGGAGGGTTTAGTGCAATTAACCACTACCCCCTATCTCATTCATAAAACAGGGCTATTTTGACTATTCACATATACATTAGGCCCAGCTCACCTGTGAGATTATCTTATTTCCTCACCCTCTCCTCTCTGACAGTCTATAATTTATCTTGGCATGTTATTGTTATTATCCCTACTTCAAGTTTGCTTCTCTATATAATGTGTAAGTCAGTATTGTTATCTAATTTTAATGCTAATTTCTATTGTCTTATGTACCAATATACCCGATCTTTCCTTCCTTTGTACTTTCTATGGAGAATGAGTCCTGCTCTAATTTTCCCAACTCTAAATTTGTTCTTTATATTCCAGTGTAGTCCTATATATTAAAATACCTATTTTTTAAAAAGAGTTTGTTTTTTTACCTAAATTGCTATTAGGGCATTCAAATTATTTTCAAATTCATGTATTCAATTCAAGGAAAAGGGGGTGCTAAAAACAGCTGTTGTAAAAAGGAGTCTCTGGGTCTGATGATGTTAAGAACCACTACTGTAAATACAAGCTATCACACTTAGGGGTATGCAATGTTCTTCCAGAGTATAAAAATTACAGAAAGAAGCATAATGTATTTCTGATGAGAGTTTTATGAGAATTATTTGGGCAAAATATTTTTTTTCAATTAAAATTATGGACATATTTTTCAGTAGAAAACATGATTCTTAAAAAGGTAATATAAACGTGATCTTTCTGTGCTATTTGTTCGTATCTCTTGCTTTGGAGAAGTTTGATAAGCACTACTCTAGATGGAGGTAAATGAATTAAAATACAAGGACCAAGGCATCAGAATGATGACATACAGTTTTTCTCAAGGCCTATTACAATGGTGTCAGATAGCTGTACAAAAACTATAAAATCAGAATGGCTTTTTTGCATAAAGAACCTTACAGGCAAATGGATTAATAAGATACAGGTTAACAAAAAGGTAGCAATATCCTAAGCAAAATCATAGTTAAGATAATAAAGACATTTTAATGCTTATGTTTTGAATGAAAAACACTGGTACTCTACAGCTGTAAACAGAATGTATGATTAAAAGAGAATGCAGGGCGCCTGGGTGGCTCAGTTGGTTAGGCGACTGCCTTCGGCTCAGGTCATGATCCTGGAGTCCTGGGATCGAGTCCCGCATCGGGCTCCCTGCTCAGCAGGGAGTCTGCTTCTCCCTCTGACCCTCCCCCCTCTCATGCTCTATCTCATTCTCTCTCTCAAATAAATAAATAAAATCTTTAAAAAAAAATAAAAAAATAAAAAAATAAAAGAGAATGCATAATCCTATTATGGCAGGCCTTGCAGCTGTTAGGTCTCTGAAATCCAGGTCTGAGAGCTGTGTGTGTATGCGATGCGCGGTGCCTGCCGTGCCAGCTCCAGAGTGCTGCCCGGGCGCCCTCCATCCACTCCCCAACCCCTCCCCGCTCGGGTATTCAATTCTGCCAAACCTTCCAGGTGATTTTGGTAAATCTGAGTTCCTGAGTACTTTACCTGTTAAAGAGCAACATGACTGTGTTCCAATGATCTGACCCAGAAGATAAACCAAAATCACTTCCAAACACTGATGATCATAAAAAAGGAATCTAAAAGTAAAATAAAAGAAAAAAAAAATACCTGTTTCTTCTGCCCAATTCGATGAGCTCTAGCCTGTGCCTGAAGATCATTTTGTGGATTCCAATCAGAATCAAATATAACAACAGTGTCAGCAGAGGCTAAATTAATTCCCAGGCCTCCAGCTCTCGTGGAAAGCAAAAAGCAGAAATCCTGTAAGGAATTATAAATAGGCTCAATTTTAAATTCGTCTTAACCGTGACTGTGAATAATTAGAGAATTTTACAACTGATTTTTTGAATTTAAAAGTATTTTACCAATAAAAGTAAAGGGCAGTTTTAAAAAATAAAATACAAAAACCTCTAGCAAAACCAATCAACAAGACTCCTAAATACAAATATACATGGGAATAATATATATCAAATTTAAAAATTTGTAAATGAAAGTGGGCTAATTTATTTTGAATCAAATTAACTCTCCTATGCTGAAATAGTATTGATTAAGAAAGGGTAAAATTCTTCAGATTTAACATAGAATATTGATTTTAAAACCTCACTTACAAAGAAAAACTGGGTAACAAACAGTAAGATTAAAAAAAAAAAGCACATTCAACTAAAATGATTAATTTACAATTTTAAAAGCATTCATACCTCTGATCCTTCAGCATTAAAATGATCTAGAGCTTGTTTTCTCAGTTCTCCTTTTATTGATCCATCTAATCTCTAGAATAAAACACATTAAAATACTGCATATAACAGATTCAAATATTTAAAAAAGATATTAAATCAACAATGAAATTAAGTATGAAAAGGCAGTATTGCTTTTGCTAAGGCCGTAAGAGTATAAGGCACGTAAGAGGCAAGAAGACAATACCCAGGCATTCTGTCTCTCAAGTCTGTGTTCTTAACCACTAAAACTATTTCCCCAGATAATAACAGTAAGTAATGACAATGGCTATCGTTCTGCCTGAGTCTCACGGTAAGAAATACATTTTACACATGAATGTGTACACAGCTGTATACCTGAAGCAAGTTACATGACACAATGTACCATGATATACTCTCATATATTAAAATCTATTTCATTTTTTCAAAATGTTGGTACAACTCATTGAAATGATTCCCAGATCCATTAATAGGTTACAGACCAGTTTTTAAATGCTGATTAAGTCCAGTGTGGTTACTGGACCAACAGCCATCAGTGTCACCTGAGAACTTAGAAATGCAAATTTTTGAGCCCCATCCCAGATCTACTGAATCAGAAACTCTGAGAAAGGGGTCCAGGGGCTCAGTTGGTTTAGTGTCTGCCTTTGGCTCAGGTCATGATCTCAGGGTACTGGGATTAAGCCCCATGTCGGGCCCCCACTCAAGTGGGGAGTCTGCTTCTCTCTCTCCCTCTGTCCCTCCTCCCTGCTCATGTTTGCTCTCTCTCTCTCAAATAAATAAAATCTTTAAAACAAAATTTAAAGAAAGAGAGAGAGAGAATGAAAGGGGTCCAGCAAAAGCCCTTAAGTTTGAAAGTCACTGATTTGGGGAACCATGGGTTCTAGTCAAATAGCCTGCATTTGAGTGTCTTCAGTATTCATGAGTGCCTGAGCAAGTGATCTTGACTTTTCACCTTGTTTGTTTCTTTCTCAGGGAATGAACATAATAGTAGTACTTCCTTCACAAAATTCAGAGCACTCCGTGAGAGAACACAGTAAAACACTTAGCTCAGTGTTGGATATATACGGAGTCCTTACTAAATATTAGCTGATGTCCAAAAAAAAAAAAAAAAAAAAACTTAAATAGTCCTATCTGTATCTTTTTCATTAACAATTACAATTAGTAAAGACTTTTAAAAACAGTGGGTATACCATTTATTGAAGTATGACCTAAATCAGAAGAGTGGTAAAAATAATTTTCTCTGGGAATTAATCTGGGAATGAGAAGGGATTAGAGGCATAGAATTGCTAATAAGAACTTCTTTACTATTTGTTTGACCATGTACACGTAATAGTTTGTCTAAAAACAACCAACAGAGGGTTAGGGTGGGGACAGAGGGGTGATATGGAGAAACATGGTGATAGCTAAAGGGTACAGTTTCTTTTTGAGGGGATGAAAACATTCTAAGATTGTGTTGATGGCTGCCCAACTCTGTGCTATATTAAAAAATCACTTAATTGTACACTTTAAATGGATGAATTGCATGGGAAAGAAATTACATCTGAATAAAACTGTTAAGAAAATCAAATGATACTTTTTCCATACTTTTCCCTTAGAGTGAATGACTATATATTTCTCAATCATGTTCATATCACCAAAAACCTGTCCTTCAAAGCAGACATTACCAGAGTTATAATGTTATTTTTATTTGTAATTACCTGCTTAATGTCTATCTTCCACATTATGATGTAAACTCCAACAGAGCAGGGATTATGTCTGTTGAGATTCATCTTTATAATTCTGCTTCTATTTTATTTTATTTTATTTATTTATTTTAAAGATTTTATTTATTTATTCATGAGAGACAGAGAGAGAGAGGCAGAGGGAGAAGCAGGCTCCCAAGGAGCAGAGAGCCCGATGCGGGACTCGATCCCAGGACCCCGGGATCATGACCCGAGCCGAAGGCAGACGCTTAACCATCTGAGCCACCCAGGCGCCCTCTGCTTCTATTTTATATCCTGCACTAAATATATATCATTTACTAGTTATATGAGTGTTCACTAGGTTCTAGGCACTGTTCATAAAAGGATTAAATAAGGATTAAATTATTAGAAAGTACTGAGACTAGCACCTGTCTCTTAACATTAAACACTCATTCATATTAGCTTTAATTACCCTGAATGGATTTCAAAATAAATACTGAATAGATGGAATATAAGACCATTTTGGTCTTTAGTACCGTCCTTGGAGTCATCTATCGTTTTATACAGCAAGCTATGTATTAGAATAACTGTGAGAACATGATTCTTCAGAATGTGTAACAGTCCTGGTAACATTCACAAGGACTGCACTCTCTTTCCCTTCCTCAAACTAAAGCCTAATACATAAAGCTGCCCATTTAGATTTGAGCACAGAAGAGAAGTACAGAATTAAAATAAAAATTAGAGAAAAGAAAAATTGCTTTGCTGCGAAATATAAGGTGAAGAAAAAAAAGGAATAATGATAAACAGAATTTTTAAATTTTTATAAATTTCTAAAAGATACATTATCTTAAAAGTACAGTTTATATAAAAATCTATACAGAAGAATTTCAAAGGTAATTTTGTAGAACACGCTCAAGAATCAGATGAAATTTAAGTCAACAAAAAAGAAAAAATGAAATGCTTACTTGAAAGGGGAATTGACGGTATTTCAAATATTCTGCAAGTATATCTAACATCCGCACCATTTGAGAAAAAATAAGAACTCTATTGCCTCGTTCTCTTAGGCGAATTAACAGTTTGTCAAGAAGAATCAATTTTCCGCTACTACGGATTAAGTGCTAGGAAACAATAAATTACAACTGTTACAGCATGTGAAAAGAATCAAACGAAACAAATACTCTACTTAATACTTCATCTTCTTTAATTTATATTTAAAATCAAAATGTTATGTTTTTATAATGTTGGAAAACAGTTTCAGTTTTCAAAATTTTCTAGGACTTTCTAGGATCAATTTAATCTATGCCAGCTAAGATTTTCCTTGCCATTTAGCACCTAGGTTTTTGTCATGTTTTGGAGTAAGGGGATGGGGGGAGCAGTTTCACTTTATTTGCTAGTTATTACACTACTTCTCCAAAAATCTTTGAAAAATAATATACTGAAAGCAGCAGCAACTGAAGGTTTTAAAACAGTAAGAAAACCTATTTTAATTTATACATATCAGTCACTGAACCTAGCACTTCAAAGCACTACTGTGACTGGATGGCAGTTGTGCCTTCTTCATACTTTCCATTTGTCTTCCAGAAGTGATAGGAATGGTAAAACCTGAGGTCAAGATGTCTTTCTCAAGCCTACCATTTGCCATATCACAAATTCAGCACATTCACTGATGTGAATTTTTGTCAATTAAGAATATACTAAGGGATTTCTGCTGGATAAATCTTGGTAGTCCATACAAATCCATTTTTAGAAAAATGATCAAAATAATTGGATAAATTATAATTTTGAAGCCTTTTTTAAAGACTAAAAAAAACCCCATTATTTAATTATACCATAACCAAAGAGAAATTCTAACCAATTATTAAAGCCTCGTGGCACTTTTAGTTACAACTGCAATAAGCATTCCCAGAATTTTGTTTTACTATAAAGTAACAATATTTTAAAACCCTTACTTGTAAGGCCTCCTGTTTATTATAGAATTCATTATTATCTGGTGGTTTAATGAGGTAGCAATGGTTACAACATTTCTTTAGCTCCATCATAATGTTCAAAAAGCCTGAGGTACTGCCCTTGGAACCTTTGCTGAGGGCTTTGTAATTCCTAGTTAATATCCATCTGTTTAAAGAAAAAAAAAATAACATAAAAATGAGCTTTAGCAGAACACTTACCAGGATGAATTCTAAAATCATGAAAAAACAATCAAGCACCAAAGCAAAATTGCACCATTATGAAGTTTACAACTGGATAATACAATGGACCAAACCTCATTCACAAGACTAAGGAACTTCATTCATAAAATTAATGAGAACACAACACATAACTTGTTATCTGTGCTATATACAGTAAAGGCTTAATGTAACATAGTGAGTGTAGTGTATTAATCATTTTTACCCCAAAGTTACTTCAAAAATGGGTCAGCTATCATCTATATTAACCTTCCTACAAATTTTACTACATTAGGCAACCAAAACATAGACCTATAAGAAACCTCATGAACATACCTGGTTTACCCACACTGCCTTCTCTAAATTACAATTAAACAATACATATGCAACTTGTAGAAAAATTACAGGTGGTTATTTTATCACTCCAAACTATTTATGTAACTATGTAACATTTCCTCTCACCACAATATACTTTGTCTTCTACCATCTTTTATTTTCTTCTTTTTTATAAGGTTAATCTTGGAAGGGACTTGAAACAATTTTATCTCTGATTTGCCTCAAAATGATAGGAGGTGGGGCAAGTGGGAATGGCTAGAGATAAAATAAGACTGGCTATGAGTTGAAAACAAAGCCAAGTGTTGGTAATTTATTATGTCATCCTCTTTTTGTATATGTTTGAAATTTTCCACAATACAAACCTAAAATTCATGCAATAAATGTATTTTCTTTTAATGTATGGCACTTTACAGATGTTACCATAAAATAAGTTTCTGAGAATCTAAATGCACGTAGCAGTGCATTTTATGCAATTAAATGTTTAAATAACTATTAGGACAAATATTACCTTTTGATTCTTTGAAATAGTACTGTATAGATCTTACATATAAATTTAAATTATGATTAATATTCTTCAACAGGGGGCCTAAAATTTTAAGTTTCTTTTTCTGGCCTCTACCTCTGTCAATTATATAATTATCATAACTACAAAATAATGCCTTAGTATCACTAACACTTTAGTATTAACACTTAACAGAACTCTCTATATGGTAACAGAGCATAAAATAGACAAACACAATTAAGTCTTAGGTCACCCATGATCTTGAACATGCCATTCAATATCTCTTCGGCTTCAAGAGCCCATAGAATAAGCCTATTCTAAAATTCAAGAATTGTTATTGCTCTAAAAACCTATTGTGGGGTGGGGGGACACCTCGATGAGACAACGTTACAGAGGGTTATTTAGAATTAAACATCCAGAATATGTGGTCTGTTTACAGCTTACTTGTAATACTGTTTCTGTAAAGCACTCATTTCCATTCTTAAAATCTGTTCAACCTTGGCAGGAAGAGATTTTTCCACATCTTTTTTAACTCTGCGTAACAGAAACGGCTCAAGCTCCTTGTGGAGGCTTGCATAACCATATTCTCTGCCTTTTCCATGTTCTTCTTCAAAATCTTCCCAGGAAGAAAACCTTAGAAGTTTAAGAAAATGGAAGAACCACTGAAAAAAGTCATATTGCATATGAGTTTTTTGAGAGTAGTCATATATAAACAAAATATAGACTTTCAGGAAAAAAGATCTAATATTAGTCACTTCTAAGAACTATCCTTCCCAAGAAATGTCCTATATATATATAAAGGTGAAACATAAGTTGTTTTACAAAAATTATGATTCTCTTTGAGCTAAAGATGTTAAATAAAATTAAAGTATTTTCAAATACAGAATTATCACTAAAATATTTCTCAAAAAATATAATTTTAAAATTCTGAATCTATTGAAAAAAAATGTTTGTCATCTTGAACAAGTTATATGACCCTTATCTAGTCTAGTTTCCCTCAAAAGGGATTACCAAGACCTTATTATTGTAGTTATTGCTACTATTAAATACTAAGAAGGATACTGTTTCAGTTTTTCAAATGAATATTATTTTGAACAAGGGCAAAATCAACTGTTTAATTTATTACACATGACTCAAACTTCTTTACAAAACTGAAAAATTAAAATATTAGAAATACAAAATGTTACATCCCATTTCCTTTTTTTATTTTCCTTCTTAAAAATCTGTGGTCTAATGTTCTAGGACAATAAAACTTCTACGGACCTTACTACCTACACTAATTATTTTCCTGCTAAGCTTAACATATGAAACTAATATTAAAACTGTATATCCCAATTTATCTTACTTTTCTGGCATAATGAAATGTAGCAAAGACCAGAGCTCTTTGAGGGAGTTTTGTAGAGGAGTTCCAGTAATAAGGAGACGGTGATTGGACTTAAAGTCTATTAAAGTTTTATACAGGAGAGAGTCATCATTCTTTAATCGATGTGCTTCATCTACACCTATAAAAGCCCAATTTAGACCTCCAAGGAATGCCTTAAAATGAACAGAAAAACACAGTTAATATTTTAAGAGAAAAATTAAATTCAAATTAATAAACCGAGGCAAAGTAAAATTAAAAGCAAACTTGTTTTTCAAATAAAAATTATATATTATTTCAAGATTTATTGAAATCCTCAAATAAAGTAACTCAACATGCAAAATAAAGTTCCTTTGCATGACTAATTCACCCACTGGAAAACAGAGAAAAGCAAATGAAAGTTTTTACTAGCTTACACATTCAAAAAAAGGAAAAAGAAATACAACAGTATCATTAAAATAGTATTTAAAATTTTTCACAGATTTTTAGCTTAAGGCCAGCAGAAGCCTCTATTAATGTCAATTTAGAGAAAATATGATATAAATTTGGAAGCATCTTATTCCAAGTGTAGAAATAATTCACCGTATGATTTTTATGAACTGTGGATCTCTAATATATAAATGTGGGTCTCTGACTTAAAACAGAGACAGGCCTCATTCTGCTATTTAATGGTTGTATGACCTAGGAGACAAGAACATTAACCTCTTTTGACACTGGATTTTTCTTTCCAATAAAGCAGAAATAGCAATATCTTATAAAATAGATGGGAATTACTTGAGATATGAACTATAAAGAACTAATTAAACAACATCTATAAAGCATTTAGCTTAGTGCTTCACCCAGGGGTAGCTTAATTCTTTTAGGTATTTTCCTCCTCTTTGAAGATCTTACAAATCAACACACTATACCAAACTAGTTTTATATAAGTCAATAGTTGGCAAACTTTTCCTGTAAAGACCCAGATGGTAAATATTTTAGCTTCTTGTAGACAAATGTGTGATGGTCTGTCACATATTCTTTGTTTTTACACCATCTAAAAATGTAAAGACCATTCTTAGTTCAAAAGTCATAAAAAACAAGCCAGATTTGACCCACAGGATGTAGTTTGCTGATCCATGATTTATCTTCTCACCCTATCCACAATATATGGTAAAGGAAAAATGGATATACACCAAACAGAAAAGCATAGGTAATACACACCTTATCCTTCAATAAAATTTCGTAAGTTGTTAAAAGTATATTAAATTTTAACCGTTTGGTCTGGGGATGCATCCATTCATGAGTTCTTATCTATCAAGAAATTTTAAAGATAATTTTAAGACAAACATTAAGAAAAATATACTTTCATTTGAATATCTAAAAAAAATCCCTCCAAAATACACAAAAAATCTGTTTATATAATAAAATCATTTTAATTCTTAACACAGTCCAACAAGCTACACTCATCTTACTTATAAATAAAATATAAATACCACAGCATACCAAAACCTATAAAAATAAAGCAGACACATTTTTAAATACACACTTTCTACTGAAGGAAGTTCATATTTAACAAAACATAAGTGATTAATTCATTTAACAACATAGCATTTATGGATGAAATATGATGTCTGGGTCTGCTTCACAATATTTGGGAGGAAAGCACTCTGTAGAGGTACAGATGAAACAAAACCGGCAAAGCATTAGAACTGTGAAGCTGGAGATGGGCACACAGAGGTTTATTATAGTCTTCTGTTTTCATGTATATTTGAAATTCTCCATAAGAACTTAGAAAAAATATATATTACATAAAGTAACACTCAGATGAAAACTGCCTTTTATTACAGCCAATTAAATATGTATTGAGTACTTTGTGGCAAGTTTTACACTAGAAATTAAGACTATAAAGACAAGTATGTCTAGATTTTTAAATGTGTGGAGAAACAACTTACCATATTTCTGCTGTTAATGTCACCTAAATAAACCACAGCATTCATTTGAGAAGCCCATGTCTGAATTTCCCTTTGCCAGGAAGTAAGAGTGGAAAGTGGTACTACTAACAGAAAAGGTCCATATAATTGATGTTCATGAAATAAATAGTTCAGAAATGAGATCGTCTGTATTGTTTTTCCAAGGCCCATTTCATCAGCAAGTATGCAACTATTTCCTCTACAAAATTAAAAACAACAATTATGTATGCAATAGATTCAAATTTATAAAGAAACCTTTTTATATAACCCATATACAAATTTAAAGTTAAAATTAATCTGAAAGGTATACAAACTATATACCACTTTTATTAGCTATAAATAATAAGTGTAAAGGCCTCTGTAATAGTATAAAAAAAGTGGACGAAGTTCATCATTTTAGTCCAAAGGAAGCTTAAAGAGTAACAGTAATATGAAGTAGTGCAGCAATTAAGGTTAAACTCAAACTCCCCTGGATTTTCTTCTTAGTATGTAATAAATATTACTATATACTAAGGAAATTCAAAAGCCTGCATATAAATACCAGTCTTCATCCTTGATATTGGTGGAAATCTTTTCCAAATCCTGTATTTGTAAAATTCGTATGCCCTCAAATTAAACAGACAATTCAAAATATACTCACTTGCACCAAGAGTGAGCAAGCCAATTTAAACCATTCAGTTGATAATCTCTTAATTCTAAACTCTCATGTCCTCCAATATAGGATGGCTGCTTCTTTAGGGCTACAAATCTTGGCCTTTGTTTTAATACCTTTAGTAGAAATAAATGTAATAAGAAGAACTATCAAATGTGAGAATCTTAAAAGATCAAAATCTCAGATTTTACCATAGATTTTGAAATTTTATCTCAAATTTTCAAGCTCAGAAATTCCATGACTCAAAATATATCTCAGGATTCATTCAAAGAAGACTGTTTTCTCTTACTGTAACAACATCGTACAGTGAAATATTTTGCCCTCTTTTTTGGACAAAAAATGATAGAAATAAGTAAGTTCCTGCTGAAATACTTGAGTCTTACACAGTTCAGAAGCAAGAGCTATGTTAAATTCATTCATTTAACTGCTAGTGCAGCCCTGACCTAGAAATAAACCATACAACTGGCTTAACTTTCTGATTTCTAAATTACCATTATCAGTTTAATTCAGTCTTATAGTAAGAAAACAAATTCTAATAGTACATAGACCCTCAAAACTACTGCTGATAATGTCTCTAAGTAAAAAGATCTTATATTAGGCAAGGTAGTCCTAAGTACCATTTCTTTTCTTATGGGTACATTCCTCTTTTCTTTCCTACCTTCAAAGAAAATATTCACTACCTTTTAAAGCAAGCATATATATCTATTTTCCAGGTAATTTCCCCTATTTGTTCTCCCCAAGACACTCCTCACAACCACCAATTTATCATCTTCCTGACAGTTTTACTCACCAAGGCTAAAAGACAGCACCACATTAAGACCGCATGGCAATCACCAGAACACCTTCTCCCCTAAGACCTATCAACCAAGCACAGTTCTCTCTCTTAGTCTACCTGAAATCAAGATCCAACTCTCTATTTGGGCTTGTAATATTTATGATGTGTAAATACTATTTTCATTAATTAAAAATTTCCAACAATACTCACTTTGCAATCTTTAAAAGGAGTGGTTTTTGACTGATTCCTGCTAAAATACTCATCTATGCATGCTTGAAACTTTTTGGAAATTAGAGCTCCATCCTCCCAGCTGCACTCTGAGTATGGAAGGCCCTGCCATTTGCAATAATAATCAGGATAACCAGCTGCTGACTTCTGATTGGAATGAGCTGTGAGATAAATCAGATATTTATTTATTTATTTTCACAATGAATCTTATCCAAGGACTAATGTTTGGTAAAAAAACTACACAAGCAAAAATTAGTCATCTGGTTTACAATACCCTATGACAGTAAGACTAAACTACTGTATTTGATGTATAAGCAATACATTTAAATTTTTCTCAGATCGAAATGGAAAGATAAAACTTTGAGAATCATTTATTACTAACCAATTATTCGTTCCACTATTTGATACTGTTTGTGTAGATCATCTGTGAGTTCTTGCTGGCAATTATAATATTCCACATCTTCTGGAGAAGCATTTTTCAACCTGAAAGATTATTAATCCAGAAATAAGACTTCAAAATCTCCCCTAAATAACCATTCCCCCAAATACTATCTGTAGCACAAAATCTCCCATTTGCCACTTATCATGTGAGTCAGCTGAATAATGAAGAAACTGAAATAGAAATAAAGTGAAGCATCATTAATTTTTAATTTAAAAAAATGTATAATTTATAATTTATGAGATGACATTCTACACAACTATTATTGAGAAGTTTAGATATGGCTATTTCCAAAAAGTATTACCTTCAAATACAATTTAAGAGTATAAATAGTTATTTTAGGTTATTGGATTCTCTCTTTTTTTTTAAAGATTTTGTTTATTTATTTGACAGCGACAGACACAGCGAGAGTGAACACAAGCAGGGCGAGTGGGAGAGGGAGAAGCAGGCTCCCCTCTGAGCAGGGAGCCTGATGTGGGGCTCGATCCAAGGACTATGGGATGATGCCCTGAGCTGAAGGCAGATGCTTAACCGACGGAGCCACCCAGGGCTCCTCTTAGGTTATTGGACTCTTGACTATGTATTCCTTATTAACAAAAAGCTTAGTAATCATCTTTGAACTGTTAAAAAATTAAATGTAATATAAAACGTATTTACCATCTTTTTGTTTCCTGATCTTTTTTCTTATAATTATCCAATTTTTTCATTCCTCTAACATTCTGCTGCTTAAGGGTTTCTTCTGTCTCCCAAGTATTGTGAATATGGGACCATCCTTTCCATTTAATTAAATATTGGATCTCGCCTGGTTCCTTGTTTTTTTCAAATCCTGCATTTGGGTCACCATCTGCTTCAACTGCATAGATGGTTGTAGTAGCACCAGTAGCTGAAAAAGAAAACACAATACATTCCATGTAATTCTGCTATAAGATTGTTTCCTTCAACTCAAAAATTCAAGAATATGAAGAGAAAAATATATGTGCTTTTAAATAAGTAAAGAATCAGGGTACAAGAATTTAAGGAAAATTGTATTATACATACATAAAAGAAACTCCAAATTTTAGAATGGAAAGATTATCTAATTTAATTCCCTCAGTTTTAAAATTAGAAAAAACAAAGTCAAAAGACAGTGGCACACCTAAGATCATACAGTAATTTATAATAACCGATGACTGGATGCCTGATAACTGGAAATAAAATGATGAAAAATCACCTTTAAAAACTCCAAAATTATGTTGGAGATATGTGTACCCTCGTGTTCAATGCAGAATTATTTACAACAGCCAAGACATGGAAACAACCTAAGTGTCCCATCAACAGATAAAGAAAATGTGATTCACATATATAATGGAATACTATTTAGCCACAAAAAAGGAAATCCTGCCATTTGCAACAATGTGGATGAACACTGAGGGTATTACACTAAGTGAAATAAGTGAGACAGAGAAGGACAAATACCATATGATCTCACTTACATATGGAATCCAAAACAAACAAAGGAAAAGCTCATAGGAAAAGAGATCAGATCTGTAGTTACCCGAGGCAGCTGGCAGATGTGTGTGGGGGGGTAATAATGCAGATGTATACAGACTTCCAGGTGTAAGATAAGTATTGGGGAGGTAACGTACAACATAATGACCATAGTCAACACTGCTGTGCAGTATATTTGAAAGCTACTCAGAGAGTAGATTTTAAAAGTTATCATAAGGAAAAAAACTTTCCTTTTTTTCTTCTTCTTATCTATATGAGATGATGGATAAATATAAACTAAACTTACTGTGGTATCTTCTTATCTATATGAGATGATGGATAAATATAAACTAAACTTACTGTGGTAATAATCATTTTGTAATATATGTAAGTCATGCTGTTCACCTTAAATTTATACATTGTATGTCATATGTCAATAAAACAAAACAAAAAAATGCATGTGAAGATAACTAATTTGAGATGAAAGAAAAAACATTTAAAAATAACCCAACTATTTGTGAAACTGAAAGTACCTAAATAACAACCATTATTTAGGCATGACAACTGAAAAGCTCAAATACGTAGATTAAAAATTTTTCTAATTATCTGTAATCAATGAAGTGAGGTTAAATGGATTATTCTGTGGGAAGAAAACTCAGGCGAAACAAAGTATATTTTATAACAAATAAGTATAACAGATGAAAAGCCACCCTCTTCACTTTCAAAACAGAAATAACTTCAAGAAATACTTCACTTTAGTAAATATTACTGAAACAACCAAACAATAAATATGTTTTTTAAGAAAATACCTCCTTTTCTCCCAATCCGACAATCCATAAAACGTTCTATTGTTTCAAATTCCTCTTCCTCAGGTTGAGGAACATCCTCCCCACAGACTTCCAGTAGATCATCAGAATCTGTTTTCATTTCTTCATCTTCTTTATAGCTAACATTGACAGTTGCTTGGCGACGAGAACTTCTTTTATCATTATCATAATCTTCTTCATCATCTTCCTCCTCAGATGAATCAATCTGTCTCTTTTTTTGTCCAAGAATTTTCTTCCCATTTTTTGCCTTAGATCTAGGTAGGGAAGACCAAGGGATAGAGGTGTTTTATAGAAACACTAGCATAGAAAACAAGACGCAAGACACTATATACAAAAAGAATACCTTCTGTAACCAACAATTTTCAGTGTCAAGTTGAGAACATACTATACTCACCTATTTTGAGGTTTTCTGCTTTTAACTTTGTTTTTTGGCTCATAATCAGATTCTGTTTCATCACAACTGCTTTTATCTCTTTCTTCTTCAGATTCTGAATCTGAACCAGATTGAGATGGAGATCCTGACCCAGACATTTGCCAATCTTCACTGTACATAGAATATATAAAGTATGTTTGTTTATCCTTACATTGTATAGCAAATTTTATCTCTGATAAAAGTACAAAAATCAAACTGAACTACATTTCAGTTACTATAAAAAAAAATCGTTGCTTTTACCCACACCAACACATTAAAATGTGAGTAGAGTAAAAAAAAAATGCTAGAAAATATTCTTCACAGATTTCTGCTATAATGCCAGAGTTTTGTTAATCATTTAGTTATACCTCAATGAATGGCAAATAAGGAAATGTTACTCTGATTAGCACTGTGGATGAAAACATAGTATGCTATTTAAAGAATCACAGGGTTAATTTTGAAAATCTTGTAGAATTATACTTGCCATCTCAAAAAAAAAAAAAAAAGATTCTAAACCCTCTCACTTCAATTTTCTGGAGACTGTGATTTAAAAAAAAAAATACACCCTAAAACTGATTTTTAAAGTACTGTACATGTTCATTAAGAAGCTTAAAATACAGTATAGAAAAATGTATTTAAAAAAAATCAGTCCATTTTAAGCAACAGTCAATGATTACCTTACCTTTATTGCTATTTTTAGTCTACTTGGGGTCTACTTAATTAATTCTAATACACATGTAGAGAAAAATTACTGCATGAATGCACATGTTAATATTCTGCTATAATATAAACTTCAAATGGAAGATACGTATTAGATTCTTATATATACGCCATACCCTCTCTCTCACAGCTACTGCTTCTACTCCATTCCTCTGTATCTCTTGTGTCAATTATAACTATGTCAAGAGTTACATAAGCACGCACATATGCTAAAATCTGGTTTATGATAAAAACATGAGAAGCAATTTCTTTTTTATCTTGAGATCTTTTTAGAGTTTGCACATTAGAAGTAGCAGTAGATAAATTATGTAAAAGTATCTCCAATTCGTATTTTTTATAATACAAATTATAATGATTTTTATATCTAACCAAGCCCACCCATCACCCAAATCACTAGATTTTTTAAAAAATATTATTTGGCTGCACCTCTGCTAAGTTTACAAATTACTAACTCAGTGGAAGAGTTTATAGAGCTGATGAGACACAGTAGTTGAAAATGTAATTCATAAACTAGAAGACATATCTGAGGAAATTAGCCATAATGTAGCATAGAAATAAAGGGATTAAAAAACATGATACAGTAAGATTTATGAAGATGGATGATCCATTAGTATATGTAAAAGATATAATCCAATATGACTGATATATATTAATAGTAGTACCACCAGAGAAATTTATAGGATAAGAAAATGTCCAGAAAATAGGACTCTTCACATTAAAGATATATAAAATGAGTGAATAAAGTGTAATAAATAAATAACAAATCCAAAGCTAGACACACCAAAGTGAAACTGCAGAATATCCAAGACAAGTAGAAAAATAAGACCTAAGACAACGGAATGATATTTTTGACAAAATGAGAGAGAAAAAAACTCAGACCATCTAAATAACTGAACTGAGAATCTGAAGTTCCCTTAAACACCTTCTGGGTCAAGATGTTTAGGAAATTATATTGAATTTCTAAATGAGTTCTACGGGGAAAGCGAATTTCATGTGCAAATGAACAGTAAGATAGCTATTAACAGAAATTAACAGAAATACTCAAAATTCCACTGGTCCCTACACTTCCACATAGTTTTCCCAAGTTATTAAGATTTTCTGATATTATGACCAAGTAGATCTCTGGAGTTTAAAAATACATAGGAGAGAGGGGTTAGAGAAGATAAACAAGTGGCACAAAAACCTCAAGTCCTCACAGAAAGATAAATGCTAAAGATTAATAGTTTAATTAATCTAATAAGATACCATGAACCAAGACTTTACAAAAGTCTACTTTTGACAGTTTTTCATAAAAAAAGTAACACAACATCAATAAGGTATTCCTGCCATGAAAGTGATCGGTTGAACAAAATGACATACTCTTTATGCTTTTTCCTTTTGACCTCATTCGATGAGTCATCAGAATCTTCACTGCTGGAGGAATCCTACAAAGAAGAAAAAAAACAAAGCTAATGTTATTAATGATTAGAATTTGACCATGGTATCAAATTTTTGCTTGTCATACTACCTGACATTCACTTTGCTAATAATGCTAATTATAAAGCTTTGTTCCCATGTTGTTATATTTGTACTATTAGCACATAAAGTAATTAGTAACATCTCTATTACAAATTCGTAACATAGCCATTGACATTAGGTAAATATCACAATGTCAGCATTTTGTATAACACCTTCAAATCTACCATCTCTAGAAACCATTATTGTTGCCCAGTATGGCCTCAAAGAGGAATTGTAATTATTGGTATGTTCAAATTTTGATGTAATATTTTTCTGCCCCATTAGACAGTTTTTGATATAGTTCTTTCTGAATGTTTCTGCACAAACACACATGCTGGTGTACTTACGTGTGCACAGGAACTATACTGTTTAAAGCTATGGCCTATTCTTTTAAAAAGATGTTGTGACTTGCTATTCATCTATACTGATTTAATAGACATGTTTGTCTATGTATATTTTCATAGTATTCACAGTTTATTTCTAGTTTTGCTGTGATGAGCAAATGTACACACGTCTGTTGCTTATTTTGGATTAATCCCTAAAAGTAGAATTACTGGATAAAAACATACTGATATTCGAAGGCTCCTGATACATATACTTAAATGTAGTTATTTCCTCATCCTTTCAAACACTTGCTGTTTGTAATAATTTCATAAATACCTACACCCAGTTAAATGGGCATCATGTCGACTTTCAGTGAAAACTCACCTCCTCTGATCCACTATTAGATGAAGCCTGCTGCTGCTGCTGCTGCTTCTTGAGCACTGCAGATCTCTGAACAGCCAGAATACTAGGGCTAGATTTCCAAAACTGCAACAGAAATATACCCAGTGAAGGATGAAATCTTGAAAAAACTGAAAAAAAGTTAATTTACTGGACAGCATTATCACTGCCTCCAAATACTAAGGTAAGACGCTTTTCTGTACTCACATTACGTGTAATACAATATTATGGCAATTAAAATAAAATTCTGAGCTTTAGTTGCATATAAAAAATTTATGGTGTGCTGAGTTTCATAAACAATATTAATCAATATATTCTTTGGTGTTGAATATTATTTTCAAAAAACAAAGTGACAATATGTGACACCAGTGCTACTTGAAAACTGGTTGCCTGGTTTTTTAATTGATGTGAGGCGAAGATGAAGAGCTTAAGTCAGAATGCAAATCAACTATGTCACTAAGTATAGTTTCAGTTCAACTGACTTTTATTTTTATTTATTGATTTATTAGACAGTAAGATTTTCTCCATGTCAGAAGCTGTGTGTTGATGTACATTCTGGCCCAAAGATCTCATCATGACTGGTACTCGAAGTAACACTACTGTATTCCATTATGAGGTACAGATAGGTTTTAGTAAATCTTGTAGTAGCTTTTTTCAAACAGATGACCCTTAGCCTAATCTACCAAGCATCTTCAAGGAAGCAAGTTCTATTAGATTCTCCTGCTATTAGCAATAAAGTACCTCCTTTGAAGATCTTGAAAGTAGAGATCAGACACTCAAGATTAACAGAGAGACCTCACAAAGCCTTTAATTTTTATCCATGAGACAATGAATATTTATGAAACTCAGTTTCTGCCTTAGAAAGTGTTTGGGGGGACCCTGGGTGGCTCAGTCGGTTAAGCGGCTGCCTTCGGCTCAGGCCATGATCCCAGGGTCCTGGGATCGAGCCCCGCATCGGGCTCCTGGCTCAGCGGGAAGCCTGCTACTCCCTCTCCCACTCCCCCTACTTGTGTTCCTGCTCTCGCTATCTCTCTGTCAAATAAATAAATAAAATCTTCAAAGAAAAAAAAAGAAAGTGTTTGGGGTGCCTGGGTGGCTCAGTCATTAAGCGTCTGCCTTCGGCTCAGGTCATGATCCCAGGGTTCTGGGATCGAGTCCCACATCGGGCTCCCTGCTCGGCGGGAAGCCTGCTTCTCCCTCTCCCACTCCCCCTGCTTGTGTTCCTGCTCTCGCTATCTCTCTCTCTGTCAAATAAATAAAATCTTTAAAAACAAAAACAAAAACAAAAACAGAAAGTGTTTGTTTTGTACTTGCTTGACTGCTTCTCCTCAAAGCCAATCAAGTCCACAGATATTTAACTACAAGTTTGAGAAGTAAATTTTAATGTTTAAAATTAATGTCTTCTAAAAGCTAGATTAAGAAGGCTATAAACCAATGTTATAAATTTTCCCAAAGTAGTAGTACAAGAAATCTGTCTTTCAGGATACTTTATTACCTCAGCTCCATCAACTTTCGGTGGTTTTGCTTGGACTTTGTTTTCTCGGGAAGTGTCTGATTCAGACTCTGACTGACTGCCCGATTCAGATCCAGATTCAGAGTCACTGCTACCTGACTGGCTACTGCTTCCATCACTACTGCTTCCAGAACTTGAACCAGATCCTGAGCCTGAAGCTGACCCAGAATCATCATCCGACTGGCTACAATTTGAAAATAAACAGATTTCAAACAAAATTTATTAGGAATTTAATTTTTCTTAAAAGTCAGCAGAAATCCCCAGATCATTAAGCCTTGTTTATTTCACATTTCAACATTCCATAGCCAAACAAACAGAAAAAAGAATTAATGTTAATCTATAACAAATGACTTACTTGATAGATTTAGTACAGTTTTGGTGAAAACATAAGCAATCAGATCACAATCTTCCTCCAAGATAAGAAGCAAAATCTATCAAACACAGAATCCTGGGCTAGAAACTTGGGAAAACAAGAAATTGAAGCCATAGTCGCTATCCTTAAAAGGCTATTTAACTATAGGAAATCTAATGTAGAAATTGTGTGAAGAAAAGGATTAATGTGCTGAAAATTCCCAGTCATACGTAGAAAAAAAATTGTAGTTTTTACTTGTCTTTAAATTATATCTGTGTTCTACCATTCTGGGGAAAAGTGATTTATTAAAATTAAGCTATGAAAAGGGGCGCCTGGGTGGCTCAGTTGGTTAAGCGTTTGCCTTTAGCTCAGGTCATGATCCCGGGGTCCTAGGGACTGAGCCCACACAATTTACTAATAGCTTCGCTGAGAGTATCACTGAATCTATCACGGTTCCACAGTAATAAATCTGAAATAATAGTAAATTGTCACAATCCTTCCTAACCTCTGTATATCACATGTGAAAGCAATTACCAGTTCATTGAGAAACCACCTTTTTTCCCATTACTAATTTTCAGTCCAAAGTAGCCTAGAAATGGTCTGGCCTAAACAGGTGATTATGTAAATTACTATTATTCCCAAGGTCATTTGTTCACATAGTGTTTACATCTGAATTGTTGAAAACTGGGGCATTAAATTCTTTATACACACATTTGACTCAGCTTTTGATGTAACTTCACTTAGCTTTCTGACAAACAGCAGTTAATGCAGTTTATGTACACACAGCTAAACTCAAGCTTCATGTCCTCTGCTGTAATTTTCAGAAATACCACCAGATGGAGGTATGACTCTAAGGAAATAGACTGCACTATTAAAAGTAATTCATTTATAAAATTTTTCCTTTTCTAGAGCGAGTTTAGTATTCACAAGGAAACACAGACATAAAAGTTTGAAAGAAGACTTCTGATTCCAAAAGTTAGATATAAATTAAAATGCTTAAAATGCAAACATATGTATATTTTTAAAGTCGAGTAGAATATTCACAGAAACAGCAAAAATTTGCCTTTTAAAGTCTATGATACCAAGATCACTTTTCTAAAAGATTTATTTATTTTAGAGACAGAGAGAGAAAAAGACCATGTGCATGCAAGTGACAGGAGGAACAGAGGAAAAGGGAAAGAAAATCCTTAAGCAGACTCCCTGCTGAACGTGGAGCCCAACTGGGGGCTCAATCTCTTGCCCCTGAGATCATGACCTGAGCCAAAATCAAAAGTCAAAAGCCAAATGAGCCACCCAGGCACCCCTCAATCACTTCTGCCGCAATTTTTAACTGTTGGTCACATGGTTCAGAGATCCAAAAACAGCACGGTGCCTCGTAATAAACAAACCCCACTTAACCATATTTCACTTCGGTCCCTTCAGAGAAATTTCAGCAAGAATATTAAGAGAAGATATTTTTCCTGACATACAATTTTATTTTTTTTTTAAAGATTTTATTTATTTGAGACAGAATGAGAGAGAGAGAGAGAGCACATGAGAGTGGGGAGGGTCAGAGGGAGAAGCAGACCCCCTGCCGAGTAGGGAGCCTGATGTGGGACTCAATCCCAGTTCTCCAGGATCATGACCTGAGCCGAAGGCAGTCGCTTAACCAACTGAGCCACCCAGGCACCCAATTTTATTTCTCCTTTAATCCACTTTCATTTACTCAATAAACTTCACTGACAGTATTGTGTATTAGGCACTGGGCACGACCAAGAGCATACAAAATCCTTACCATTAAAAAACCTCTAACCTGGGGCGCCTGGGTGGCTCAAACGGTTAAGCGTCTGCCTGGGGCGCGGGTCATGATCCCGGAGTCCTGGGATCGAGCCCCACATTGGGCTCCCTGCTGAGCGGGGAGCCTGCTTCTCCCTCTCCCTCTGCCTGCCACTCCCCCTGCTTGTACTCTAATAAAAAATAAAAAAATCTTAAAAAAAAAAACAAAAACAAAACCTCTAACCCGGTATGGAGAGATAGTCATGTCAACCAATAAATGTTGTTCTGCGCTATTTTTAAGATAACTGATCTAGGTGAATGGGGAGCACTGCATATACAACCAAGAAAAAAGTGCGACTGATAGAAAAGGAAAATTGCTTGTAAGCTTCTTGAGGATATCATTTATTTTTTTCCAGAGTACCTAAACACAGAACTTTATACAGGTGAGGATGCTTAACAGATACTCGAAAAATAGGTAGATAAGAACGACTGAATTTGGGGGCTATCATACCCCTGTATTCTTGATTATGTCTTGATTAGTCATTCCAGATGAATGGCTAGTCAAAAGTCTTTGTTAATAAATCAAAACTCTAAGGGAAAGGAGGAATCTTTCCCTTCATATTCTTTAGGCTGTAGTAGTTCTGGCTGGAGATTAAAGCAAACAGTCTGAATCTAGATTACTCTAATGGCACAGACCTATTATAGAATGTCTTTACCTTATGTATTGGAAATATAAAGTATTTTATTTAGTTGTTCTTAGTAAGATTAAGAATATACAAGATTAAATAAGAAATATTTTACATACTGCCACAGAACAATCTCCAGAATATAGTTAAGTAAAAAACAAAACAAAACAAAAAAAACAAGATACAAAACAATCTTTATAGTATGCCTCTTTTGTATAAGGGAAAAATATACATAACTTGCCTATATTTTAAAAATAGCAATAATGGCAGCATAAACCAACAATTAATTTAAAAAATGGTTATCTACAGAAGGAGGGATAGAGGGAAGAGTAGAGGGAACAAGGTTTGAAGTGAGTCCTCAGATTCAAAACATGTAAATGTTTTACATAATTTTTTAAAAAAGAAAATCCTAAAAATTTTAGGAAAAACACACAGGTTCAGGAAAAAAAAATCTATATTCAGACATAAAATTTTGAGCTAAAATTGTTGAAAAACCTCCCTATTAATTCAGCCCACTGCTGTAAATGCTCTTTCCAGAATAGAAATCTGGGCATGGTCTAACTTTCTTTTATAAGTCTTCAGTGTTTCTATAACAAAGTGCAAACACCTATGAGGGCATTCAGGAATTTGTCTTTGCCAGCCTATTTCCAGCCAGTTTCCCACTTAAATCCTTAGTTTTAGCAATGGCAAACTACTTAGAATTCTGAGAGCCAGTTTCTCTTTCCACTTCCTGCTTTTGCTTAAGTACTTCTCTTTTTTTCCCCCACTATGTAATTCCTACTTGAGCCTCATCTCAGACGCATTTCTCCAAAACTCTCTCCTAACTCCATTATTCTCAATCCAACCTTAAATTAGGTATCCTTCCTCAGCACTTCCAAAACACTATTACATACCACTATCTTGGCTGTGAGTACACTATGTAATGAACACTGTAGTATTGTTTTCTTTGGTGTTTTTGGTATCCTACCTTTCATATTCTACTATATGTTTCTAGAGTGTTGGGATTTTTACTTGTTGTCCTTTGTATGATGAACACCAAATGAAGAGCATCTTTGATGGGTGGATGGATGTACATATAAACAAACAAAGATATATATGGCTTCAAATTCTTGTATAAAATTCACAAATATAATCTGCCTACAAGAAATATTGCTGAGCTCCAACTAACATTTTATTTATTTAGGTAAAAACCAGTAACAATGATCTTCTATACAACAAAGTTACTTAAGAGATTACTTAAGAGTTACCCTTATTAATTATATTAAATCCCACTAGCACATTAACAATAAAGAAACACTGTATTCTTTTCCTTACCTTTCTCAATTTACAAAACAAAACCCACCATAAGTTGATGGGCACTTGGATAAAATTAAATTGTTTTCTGAGGGTAAATTAAATAGGAATACATTTAAAAAATAAAATAGCAATTCAAATTAAAGTCTCTTTTCAGGCTTGTTTTTATATTCAACTTCAAATATAAACAAAAGAGCAACATAATGAATTACCATATATCTAAAAACCCACCTTATAATTATCAACTCTTACCAATCTTGTTTCAACTAATCCAGCTTCCCAAACACACACAATCTCAGGCATTTTAAAATTTTATCCATAAATACTTAAGTACTACAAATAAAAAGAAACCAACACTATTTTTAAATACCACAATACCAGTATCATATCTTTAAAATAACACTTACTCCTGAATTTTAATATGAAATCATTTTAATATGAAATTAAACATTAACTCACACGATTTCATTTCCTGGACTGACTGAATAGGAATCCAAATAAGGTTCACATACTGCCCTTGAATTATATTTTTTTAAGTCTCTTTCATCTTATTTATTTAAATTCCAGTTACTTAACATACAGCATGATATTAGTTTCAAGTGTACAATAGAGATTCAACACTTCCAAACATCACCAGGTACTCATCACAACAAGTGCAACTCTTTAAATCCCCATCACCTATTTAACCGATCCCCACACCCACCCCACTTATGGTAACCATCAGTTTGTTCTCTGTTAAAATTCTGTTTCTTGGTTTGCCTTTTATCCTTTGCTCATTTATTTCCTTAAATTCCACATATGAGTGAAATCATATGGTATTTGTTTTTCTCTAAGTCTCCTTTATTAATTTGACAGTTCCCTTTTCCTCTTTGTTTTCTCTTGCAATTTATTTTGTGGAAGAAATTAGGTAGTTTTTTCTGCTTTTTCAGATTTCACTTACTGTAACCCTGTGGTATTAACATATTTTTCTGGCCCTTATAGTTCTTGTAAATTCTTGGATCAAGAGACTCAGATTAAAATTCAGCTTTTCTTAGCAAGACTATTTTTTCAGTTGTTGTGGACTTCTATCAGAAGAAACTTAAGTTTGGTTGTCTCTTT